TTTTTTTTTTTTTCTTTCAACGGAGCCATGTCTACATGACGCCGTGCAATTTTAGAATTAATGTATTTGTAAGTCGAAATAAAAACGATTCTGTTTTTCCCTCTCCTCTCGGGACAGTGTGACAAAAATTCTCAGATTTCACGTCTCGTAAGTTCGTCGGACGCAGCTTGAAAAAATATTTTTCTCGCTATGCGAGAGAGCGAGTCTTGTACAATAAATTTTCTTAAACTCCGGCTATGTTTATCGTGTGTTTTTTCTTTGAAATAAAATGTGTGTCTATAACTACTATAGCCTTTTGTGTTTTTTGCACAGGCTTATGTGGGTTGCACTTTGGGCGGCGCTCGCACCGTCGCCGTGTGTTTCCTGACCTTGGCCTTCCTGCAAGCCGTCGCCACCGTTACGCTCTCGATGTTACTCAGACACGTTGCGGACAAAAGGTATTTTGTCGTGGGTAAGTAAATTTTGTGTTAACACACATATTTGATGATTCCGCACGCAACACACGGGCGATTGACGGATCTGTTAACGCGCGATAATTGTTAAAATTGATAAAACGATGAATATCCCGATTCGAGTTTGTTTTCACAATCGGTCGCGGATTTTCGAGAAAGGGGAAGAAGAAAAACTTTGTTATTTTTATATTTCCAGCCGTGGGTTTCGCTTTTCACTTCGTTCTTTTGCTCCTTCTGCTTGTCTGGAAACCGACGAGAGACGATCCAGCTGTCTTTTACGTCATATCAGCCGCTTGGGGACTTTGTAACTCCATCTGGGAGACTCTGATATACAGTAAGTACACATTGTACACGTGTGTCTGTGCAATCTCACAGTAGTGTGAAACGTCAAAGTGGTTTTTGTGTGTGAAGACGGGCTCGCGCAAGTCGAATTGAGATGGGCTCTTAGAAACTAACGAACTCGCGTTAAGCTTCCGACCAAAGTTTCAAATGATTTCGAAACTCTGTCTTTCGTCTCGGTGCGCGAGAGATACAAGTGCGTCTTGTCAAAAGTTTACAGTGGCGACGTAGTTCGCCAGTTGTGCACATATTTAACGAATCGTATACACGCTCTGTCGCATGTGATTGAACAAACAAACCGCGAACAAAAAGACGCGTCTCGTTTGCCGCAAAGTCTCTCCGCGAGGAGAGAAACCACGCGCTGAAGGAGACCAGTACCAAAAATAACAGACTTCAATTTACGGGGCTCTCTCTCTCTCTCTTATACTTTTTTTCTCAAACTCTATAAATCGTAAGCGTATTGAAAAAAATGGGAGACTCTTCGCGCAAAAAAAATATAAATTTTTTTACACAAAATATCGCTGGTTTATTTTTAGTAAAATACAAAACAAATTGAAAGCAAAAGATACAATTTATGTTTGAGACGCAAATCGAGTCGGAAATGGGGGAACCGAGAGAAAACTTCTCAAATCTTTGACTTTCCAGCGCTGGTGATGGGCCTGTACCCGAACTCGTGGCAGGGCCCGTTGTCGACGTCGCTCTTCTGGCGCTGGCTCGGGCTGACCCTCGCGCTCGGTTTGCACGGCGTGGTGTGCACCCGTTACCGCGTGATAGGCCTCGGCACGATGCTTGTGATGACGGTGGTGCCGCATCTGTGGCTGGAAATTTGCCTGGCGCGTCGTGGCACGACGCTCGCGCCCTTATGACCGGGGGATTCGGTTGGGGCGAGCGAGCGCGGATCCAACAGCGTCGAGGCGACGACGGGTACAGATGTAAAACATCGGGGTGACTGAGAGCGAGCCGTTCCATCCAGCCGATTGTCGCATTTTACGCGACGCGGCAGCCGCAGAAGCAGCAGCTTGCAGCAGCAGCAGCAGCAGCAGCAGCAGCAACAACAGCAGCAGCAGCATCAACAGCACCAGCAGCATCAGCATCAACATCAGCACCAGCAGCATCAGCAGCAGCAACATCAGCAGCAGCATAAACAGCAGCAGCAACAGCAGCAGCAGCAGCAGCAGCAGCAGCAGACGCAGGCCGCCGATCGCGGAGCGCCACTCAAAGTGAAGACGCGACGTAGGGCGAACAGTGTGGCGTTCGCCTGTCGCACCGATTACGGTCTGCCCGACGACGGCGACGACCTTCCACCGAAGAATCCGCTTCTTCTCTTCGTGGAACCGGAACGTCGTCGGAGCGCCATCGGGGCCGGGGAGGGGTCGAAGGAGCGTGACCGCGCCACCCCTACAGTCTTCACGCTTTCGTGAGCGCGCTTTCGATACGTCGTCGTGACAAATACGAGTCGGTGCAACAGTGTCTTCAGCAGTGCGCGATGTTTTAACGTGGTGCGCCGGATAACACGCCGAGGATGTTAATTGTTTTTTTTTTTTTTTTTGGTTCTCGGCAAAGAAGACACACGAGACGCGGTCTTCTTCGATTTAAAGAGACTTAAAAGGATAAAAAGTGCGTAATTTCTTTCGCGCGTTCTTTAACTAACGCGAAGAGAATCTCGCGTGCGATAATCCCTTTTCGAACGTTATCGCGGCATTTCGTCTGTAGACTTTTATACATAAATACGTAAAAATTTTCACACAGGGTGTACAACACACGCGCGATCTCGACACGGCATCCGGCGCATCTCGTGCGAGCACAAAGTATCGCGTTTTATTGCAAGTGCGCTATTTAGCACTCTCTCGACTCGGGAGAGAGAGAGATAACACTCTCATTCTGTCTCATTCTCGCGAATTTGGAGCGAGGACGACGACGACGACGACGACGATCGATGAGCATGCCGCAACACGGGCGCTTTAAAAGCTCCCTCCGGGAGCGTTTAAGCCGCGATTAATGAGGATGGCTCTTCTCAAAGCTGGATGGAACGGCTGTGTATACAGACATTACATATATATATATATATATATATACACGCATATATATATATAGAACAATACACGTACGTCTTCTCCCGCTACGGTGCGATCGATGCACACGACTGAATAGCGGAGAGAAACGTTACGCGCGCGCGCACATACACACACACACACAAATATACACAAACACACATACATATAAATCTGCATATATCGTGTTCCGGTATCGAGCGTACCGTTTTGTATCACTCGAGCGAATCACTGTTTGACGTAACGGAACGTTGAAATGTACCTGATGTCTTTCAAGCCAAGCTACATAAAGTATATAAGTGAAATCGCGTCACGCGCGATTTCCGCGAGACATCCGAGATATATATATATATATATATATGTATACATATACATGTACATATATGTATTTATGTTTATGTGTTATATGTATATGTTTGTATATATATATATATATATATGTACGGATATATACATGCATTTTTCTCTATCTAATATCGTAGCTGCTCGTACGCGTTTCGCACCGAGGCGCGTCGATTTTTTTGAGCGAAAACGACTCTTGTCATTTTATATTACCGATCGCACTCTCGGAATAGCGTGCGCGAGAAACCGCGACTCGACTCGCGAAAGTGGCGTCGAAGTCGAAAGCGATAATCGTCATCTAGGATGAAATCTAGCGAATAATAATAATAATAATAATAATAATAATAATAATAATTCTAAGCGTTGTTAACATTATATATATATATATATCATGACAAAAAAAAAAATTCAGAGTTAAGATTTTTTATGATAATAACTTCGCGTACCAATATATTACCGGGGAGAAGGATCGTCTCTTCCTCCGTAGAATAGCGAAAAGGCTATCACCCCCGCCTCCCTCCCCCGAGATAATCCTCCGCTAAAAGAGAGACGCGCCGTTCGCGCGTTCTCACAACCCGACAAATTGCGTTTGAATCGCGAAACGATCGTCCGTTCGTCGTGTTTGAAGAAATCCTTCTTCGATCCGTGTGATATATAGTGACGATGATAAAAAAAAACAAAAAAACAAGAAACAAAAAAAAAAACACGGTGATCGTTTCCTGATTGCGGACGTTAGTTGACGTTTGTTTTGTTACAGATCTTAGACTAAGCAAGTGAAAATCTGTAATCGCATAAAGTTTAAGAGTGATCAATAAATATTATCACGTTTAAATGTTCCAAATGTAGGCGGATCGAAAAAAAAAAAAAAAAAAAAAAAAAAAAAAAACGATAAATTAGGACGATTAAGGCAACATATCACTGAAACACATTGCCTGGCGGAAACGGATGTGAGAGAGAGAGATGCCTGGTTTTTATCTCGAAGAGAACGTGTGTGTGTTTAGTCGCGTATACGTGTACTCTGCGGTGCGTTTAATATGCCTTTCGAAAAGGTCACAGACATCTTTCCCCTTCTACGGCACGTTGTCGCCGTACAGAGAGAAGTCGTCTTCACTTCTGACGGTGTCAAAACACACGTGAGAACGTGTTTTTTTTCACGGGGGGCTGCTCCACGCGCTTTTCACTTCGCGAAAAGGATCATCTACGGGATTTCTTAAATGTCCGAAAACAAATCTCCTGAGTTTTTAGTCTTCGTTATCTTCGTCTCTCGTGGTTTCGCCTGTGTGTGTGTCGCGGTTGTATTTTGTTATTATTTATTATGTACGAACTGAACGGAGAATTATATTATACATGTTTTTTATTTTATATCGATATGACAAAAAAATGACACAACTCTCTCAAAAAAAAACCAGATACAGAATGTACAAAAAATGTTCTACTCAATCCCACACGTTTTCTGGAACATGAGAAGTTCCGCCGGTGCAAACTTTATCCCCCCCTCCCCCTCCCACTTTACGGTACAGTTTTTTATGCGCCTCTTGCGTGTTTTCCGATGTTCGGGTTAATCGTATTATGCCAGCGGTTTGGATTTTACTGTCGCAAAAAAAAAAAAAAATCGACGATAAAGTAAAAAAACAAAAAACAAAAAAAAAAAAAGATACGTACGTGTCGTGAGGTCCCGGTGAAATTTGCTAGGACACTGCAAAAAAAAAAAAAAACTGCTCGCGCAGATGGGTCTGTGTACTTACTTAGCAATAAAAATTCGCTCACCCTTTCGATTTGTCGAGAATCGCGCGACCAATCGTCCGCGGGAGAGCAGAACAGGGAAGCGGAAAATCGTTCTATGTCCTAGCGAAGCGCGGAATAAGGAATATATATATATACATATATATATATCGTGTCATTGAGGAAAGGCATATATTATCTGTATTTCATGAAATAATAAATATTATCTTATTTTATATCAATCGACGCTTTGATTCACTTTCATATCTTGCAACGCGCGAATCTTTCTTACTTCGCGTGAGAGAAAAAAAAAAAACGTTTTTCTGTGCCCAACCACAACGTTCCCGAGGAACGAGCGAACACGCTCGATCCTCCATATTGCACACACTGGCTCTTTTCTCTTCTTCTATATATTTAAAATCCGTGGAATTACTTTCATGATAGAGATCATTCGTATTTATTCGTGGTTTTTGTACTTCATCAAATAATATACTAAAAGCTAACTACTTTATTTAAACGGATAATACTGACGGATTTTGCCGATCTTCCTCGAAATGTTCGTAAAGCTTCAGCTTGAAACAATGTGAAGTTTTAACATAATTCTCTAGTTCAGAATCAGGAATTTAACAATTGCAACAATTAATAAGCGCCGATTAAACTAAGAAATAACAGAGAGAGAGAGTGCGCGATCGTGTGAGAAAAATAAAATTGAAGAAGATCGGTGAAATCGGCTAAAAAGAAATAACGAAGAATCTCGTCGCCGCTCGAACGCTTTGGCAATAAAAGTCGAACACTCTCGTCAGAGAACGCTCGAAAGTTTCGCGACCAAGTTCTTCACTAATGTCGTTTGTAAAGCCTTCGTTCTCGGGAAACGGAACGTCGGTCCCGTTTTATTTTCTTGGAACTTCCATCGGGTGACACAAAAATGTAATGTAACTGACAGGACTCACATATACACCTATATTATATACGTCTATATATATATACATATATGTATATATATACACGTCAACATTTTCTACCTAAATTATTGTCAGCATCTTATGTCTTATGTACTCGAGATCGCGAGTTCGCGAAAAGTTCGCGTTCGCGCGAGCAAGACGCGGAGTTAGGCGACCTTAATACAGCCTTCAACGGAATTCATCAATGTGTAACATCTAAAAACTCACGCACACATACGCTTAGACACACATACGCTCATTCACATAGAAACACATGGAGACACTTAGCTATTAGCCCGTTTAACTTGTAACAATGCCCCTTTATTGAAATTTTTTTTATCGATCATCATTTCTCTTTTCTTTGTTTGTTTGTTTGTTTGTTTTTTTTTAATCCAGAATTTTGTGATTCACAGATTTGTTTCAAACACATTTCCTTTTGGACTTTTCTCTTTCTTCGAACTTTTTTTCTCTCGCGATCGATCATCGTCACGCAATGACGTACTACGAAGCGAGTAAATATTCTACAATGAACGTATTTTTTGTTTACATTATTACAATCTCAATATATAAATGTAGGCTACATACACACTCTCCGAACATAAAACGCGTTCTCGCAATACGTATATTAGCAAAAAAAAAATAAAATAAAAAAAAAAAAAAAAAAAGGACATGGAGATCACAAATGACTGTATTCGTGTACAACATCGAAAAACACAATGATAATGCGTTTGAGTATCATGCGCTTGTTGTTAAAACAGATAAACGCAATAGTACAATATTTGTCGACTCGAAGAGTCATACACACATTTATCGAGCCGACTTTCGTGAATGTCAGAGAAATACTGGCCTGAGAATATCAAAATACGGCACGCAACTTATAAAAACATTTGTACACTAATCTCAAGGCATAATCCGCCTTACCAGAACACACACTAGATCTAGGATTAACGCGACAACTTCAACCAAGCTCTTCACACGCTTTCGATCTTTGTGCATTATGGTTTTAATAAAAAAAAAAAAAAAGAAAAAAAAAGAAAACAAATTGCATTACATTGCAAACAACGGACAATGCACGAAAATTCAAATGCAACGTTCTCAATTGACAATATCGCAAGTAATCCTAGAACTGTTAACTAGTAAGGCATCATGGCCCTTTAGTGATAGCTTATAAGTTAAAAGCATCATAATTGATTGCGTGATCGTCATCATATCCGGAATCGTGCATTACCAGCTCGCATTAATTGCAGAGTAATGAGAAATTATTCGAAATATCAAATATATATGTATATAGTGGACGATTTTCTTCCTCTCAATCGATCAGATCATCGCTTGAGTATTATCATTACGCAATAATTTGTTTTTTATTTCCCCATTTTTGCAGCATAAGTTTCTCTCGTAGCGAATAAAACCAAAAAGGATTCGTTAATACTTAAAAATCTTATTCACATCACGGCGTTAAATTTATGAACCTAAATTATGAATCTCGGTCCTCTTTTGTATTTTTTCTCGGAAAAAAAAACGAGAATGGCAAGATAGAAGGATACATATTTCATAATACCGCGTACTTTCGAGATATGTGATTTTTTTTAAATACTTTTTTTATCCTGTAACGCAACAAGCAATATTAGGCTGAAGCAAAGTGATCAATAATATTTTGTTAGTTTTACGTATGTGTATGTGATTTATCTAGGGCTATTATCACAAAAAGATAACGTAGTTTCTCACACATTTTTCTTTCTTTCTTTTCGACCTTTTGTTATCGCCATCTCGATTATTTTTATATCACTGTTCAGTTACGTGTGCACACATTAAAAGAACAGCTCATTCTTTACAGCTATCTGAAAACATTCGGTAATTCGCACGTCTGTCGCTAAGATATCTCTAGATTTTTTATATTTTTATTACGGCTTCTTTTTATTACTTCATTAAGAGCCATCTTTTTTGTTTTTAATAATATCCACGTTATTCTCTTTTTTTCCGGAATTATTTACGATTCTGATCGGAAATATGGATTTCTGAAAATAGTGTTACGTCACTACGCTATAACGAATGATATTGAATCATCTCCGATCTCTTACCTGAATATTTTATCAACAAGGAATAATTTTTTCGTTAATTATTTTCTAATATAAATTTTTGCAACTATTTCAAATCGATTTTGAACACGGACGTAAGAATCTTCACGTCACAAATAAAGAAGATCGCTTGATCTTTATCTCATAAATAGGCAAATGTTTTTCTGATTAAAGGCTGTAATTATAGATTTTATGTATCTTCCGATATAAATCGTAGATAATTTCATGTTTTGCATAAAAGACTTGTCAGTGGCATCAATTCCTGTAGAAAGTACGCGTGATGCAGCAGCTATCTGTCTCTTTCTGGTAACTGGTGTGCGAGCATGCATCACAAACTGTTCTAAACAATCAATGTTTGAAATACATATTTACCAAGACGTGAGGTGAGCGTCACGAGTGGTGTTGCACGCATTTATACGCGCGCGGTGTTCTTTCTCTATTTTTCTCTGTTACAATATGAACAAAAAAGAACATTTACGCGAACAAAAATCATAAATAATCGATACGCACGGTGTATTATGTACATGTGAAAAGTATTTGATGAGATTCTCAAAGAAATGATAAAACTTGAGGAAAATGCAAGCATGTGTTAAAAAAAAAAAAAAAAAAAAGAACGACACCGTCCGTCTTCTCACAATCGTCACTATTGTGTTTTAAGCTGCCGATTAAATCAAGTAATCAATTCATCTTCTGTGACACGACCGTGTGACAACATACATACCGCGCACAGAAAATTGGATTTCGGACAGAGTTTGATCTCGTCGAAAGAGAGTCAGATTGCGAGTCAATTCTCGCTCTCTTGACACATTTTATGTGAAACTAAATTATAGCACGATATCTGGCTAAATTTTCTGACAACAACGGGCAAAAACGAACGGTGAACATAGCTCTAATATTGACCAGTATTGAGCACCCGATGCACTCGACAATAGAACACCGAGATAAATTTTTACACGATGGATAAATTGCGTACTCTTTCGCACTGGCATACACTCACACATACGCACACGCACACATACTCGCGTTAGCGCGCACACGCGCCTTCTCCCTTCTCAAATACCACGATAACAGATTCGTCAAGTTATTTTAATCAGTTACTACAATCCGAAGTGCCCGCATCGACGTCTTTCGAGGAGAGTTCTCAATAATTTACAACCACTACTTCAATTTTTTTTTTTTTTTTGATACTTAAAATTCTGTCTGTGCAACTAAACATATCAACTGTTCAAACGGGGGTGTAATTACCCTTCGGCTTGTAAAAGATCTTGCCGCGCACTATACGTCTTGTAATTTCACTCAGTAGTAAGCGTTTCTCCTTTTTGATCTTCTTTAGTATGCCCCGGTTTTCTTGGGCGCGCCGTGACAAGTACGGCAGTACTTCCTTAACCGGTCCGTACGGGATGTACTTGTACGCAGAATAACCGGATTGACCTGGAAATTCCATTCGATCACGATGCGCGTGATAGATACACTTGTTTCTTATCTTGTGCAATCTCGTTCAGAGATCAAATACTTAAAGATAGAGAAATAATATACATACCTAATGGAAATGTTATGTAGTCGCACATTCCTAATAATTGGCCGAAGCATATGACTTTATCTTCCGGTGAAATTCCTATTTCTTTCATTCTAAAAAATTGCAAGAGAAATTATTTCGTACACACACAAAACACATACATATTCACGTCATGTCTTTCTAAAGCGATTAAGACTTAAACAAAATCTCACGACGACACTCACTTTTCGATCGCAAAGCGCACAGTATCCTCATTATGCGAAGCGACCATAATTCCTATTTTTCTGGGATCTTCTCCCTTGTCCTTGTATTGTTTCATTCGCCTTAAACATTCCATGAGTGTTTTGTGATAGGACTCGGTTGTCGCCTCGTACGTGGGATTTGTGGGATCTGGATAACCCATAGCTGCCGCCCTAGCTCTTTCCTGAATAACAAACTCGTCGGTATTTTATATACGTACGTTCGACGAATTTTACATGAAAAATACAAAAATCTATCTAGTTTTACTGACCTGTTCGATATAAGCACCGCGAACAATTTTAGCACCGAAATAAAAGTTTTGGCGTTCCGCCTGTTCGAGGTCCGTTTTCACCTCGTTATACGCGTCTTGCAGATACGTTTGGTAAGTGTTGAATACCACAGCCTAAGAAGTAGACCGACATTTGGCAGTGAGAATATCATTCACTGAAAAGTAGCTAAGTGATAACGTCGCGATCCCCTGAGAATGTTAAAATCTTACCTTTTTCGTATTGTACTTGCGCATCATCTCCAGCGTCAAGCGAGAAATGGCCGGTTGGAAGTACGTCTGTTCCGCGTCTATCATAATACGAACGTCTAAACTATCAGCTACCTGTGACAAGGAAAAATAACTTCTGGTCATCAAAGAAATCAGACAGGAATGTGTGCTGTGTGTTCGAGACGTACCGATACAATATTATTTAGACGTCTGATCATATTTCTGAACATTTCTTCTTCCTTTGAGGTAAGCTGCGACATTAGTCTGACCATCTTGCCCGTTTTAATATCAGGTACTTGAAAAGTTTCGCTCAACTCATAATTTTCATCTAAAATACCGCTCCATGGAAACAGATGAATTACGCTGCAAATAAAAATATCTCTTGTTTATACAACTATTCTAGAAAAATATTGAGAGAAGTTATTAGAAAATTTAATTCTAGATCTTGGTGGTTTATATACATACCCGTTCTCTAAGCGTTCTTTATATACGTACCCTTCTTTATCCGCTTGAATTTTCTGAAGGAACTTTTGCACCGACTCTTCGTTCTTGATGTGTGCCTCCTCAAATTTTTTTCTGAAATCATCAGGCTTTGCATGATGAGCCAGAACAGCACCCTCGCCGCCAATAACGTCCGACATGTACTGTCGCGCGCGCATAATTACCTCCGACAATTGAAGCTAAGGTACATTAAATTATTTGATTAAAGATTTCTAATGTCAAACAGACACCCGGAAAGAAATAAATAATTATTTACCAGAAGCTGCGGCCGACCAAGCGCCGTTAATTTAACGGCGGTGATGCCCATTCCCATCGAAGCACCTGCAAAGACGTATTTTGTAACACGTCGTGTTAACGTTTCGATACTAAGTCGATTGTTTCCGATAAAAAAATCCTACGTAAAAGGACAGGTGTTATTTCAGAATCTGAATACTTATGTATGTACGTGGAAAGATTTTCAAACACAAGGAAAAGAGCGGAATGTGAATCTTCTTACCGGGATGGGGATCAACTTGGGTGTTTAAGGTAATGTTTCGGGAGGGATATTTCAGCCTCAGAGTCTTAATTTCATCGTCTGCAAAACATACGAAGTTCTTTATCTCTATCGTTTTAAATTTTTCTTCTTCGTGTCTCAGAACATTAAAACAATTCGTGAGACAACAACTGCGTTCACCCGTCCCTGACATATTTTGGCTGGAAAGTCATCTCACTCGCGTAACGATATTTATAGCCGAGTAGAGGACTCTGTTCAGCTTCAGAGTTACGGAATCCGGAAGATCTCTATCGCCGTAATTGTTGGCCATGGCAAGAGAGCTCGTGACGTTCTTCCCTCCCACTTTCTTTATATTGGCAGTAATTCGACATTTTGTAAGATAACGTTCAACGCGATGCCAGGAAGGTGTGTTGCTTCCGCGTCGGCGAGAGTCGAAAATTCGTTGAGGTCGGCGATCGATTCCGCGTGCAACCTTAGTGACGTCAACCAACCGTCCCGCCCTCGTCAATTATCCCAAGAGAGAAAGTAGATCCGCTACGTTACTTAGATTATAAGATTTTTTTTTATTTGATTTTAATCGATTATAATTTTGCAAACCATCTTTCGTATTTTATTAATGAATTGCGTTCGGATAATAAAGAGAACGTCACTGGATACACTGACTCTCGCGTAATCAGTAGTGATAATGAAATAATCGCGCTCGTAAAATAACAAACGTAAAAAGATCAAGTTTCACGATAACACTAATCCTCGTGATCTCGATAGGACGTAAATCACAATGTGTGTCAACGTTCGTACACGGCGATGATGCTCTCTCGTTGCATCGGTCGAGTACATATGAAATGTCAAGAGAGACACTCGAATCTTCGATGTTACAACTGAAATCGGTCCGTTTCAATGTGCGAATTCAATTCACACATTCGAAATCGCCGGTTTTTTTGGATCGAAGCAAATCGCGGATCGTGTCAAAGTGAACGAGTACAGATCCGTAATTTTGCTTATACCCACCTTAAAATTGAGAACATATTTTGTAACATTAACATTAAAAATAAAAAGAAATCTTTATTCGAGTAAAAAAAAAACCAACTCTAGAGCGATGAGAACATCTCACGTAATGTCGGAAAGGATAAAAAGAGCCAGTTGGGAAAAACAACGGATTAAAATTTGAGGAAGCTGAGAGTTAAAAACAGACACAATATCAACACAACTCACTCGCCACAGCTTCCAGACATCTGATAAATATATCCATGTTTCGTTCGCAGGACGCTTCGTTCAGATAGAAATACGTCCTGGCCGATGAGACTTTGTATCGCCGATCGGCGAACGATTTCTCCACGTGATACTTCTTCAGCGGACCCTCTCTCTTCTCGTCACCCGCTTCTGACACCGAGGCTCTGTGAAAGAATACCGAATACTTGACACGCTCTGATTTACGAGCACTTATCGTCATCGCAAAATGAGCCGTTGGCGTTTGAGCCTTTTTTTTTTTTCAGTTTTTTAAATATTGAAATCATCCAAACTCTACGAAGAAATTTTAGCATTTGAGAAAAGAAAAAGCTCAATGTAGAGATTGCATCTTGTTGAAAAATCGTATCGATCGTTGAAAGATAAAGCGAGAGATGCGCTTCAAGATTAAATCATACACTCGATGAACACGCGCGAGCACCAGAATAGCTGGAAATGATTTTTATGACAATTTTCTGTACTTATGCGGAAGATGAGACAAAAATTAATGCGCACAACAACGTGGTGTAAGTGGATGATGAATGTACTCACTGGACCTCGCGCCTTTCGGCCTCTTCCTGCGAGATGTCCTCCTCGACGGAATAATCGAGAATAGGTTTGACGCCAAATTGTCGCAACCTATCTAGAACGGGGGTGATCTGGACTTCATCTTCGCCGGCAACAAAATGACCGTAGAACGTCGCTTTCATCAGCTTCGTGAACAGTTTTTCACCCAGCAATGTTTTCGCCATTTTCATGAACTGTTTTAAATTTTAAACAAAATTCAAATGAAAATTATTACACACGCGTACATTTGTTCGAGCGTGCATCTAATCCACATACAATAATTTATCTCTTCAAATTTTGATTTTTTTTCTCTCTGCATTTGCTTATGTAAAAAAGACGTCAGAATTACTTAGAAAACCCAAATATATATATATATATCTCTAAATAAAAATACAAACCAACCGAGAGAGCACAGATAAATTGCAAATGTATATCCGCGTTCTCACGCGACATGTGATTTACAAGCTAAATGTGAAAAAAAAAAAAAAACCGCAAGTGCGAGGCTTTTACGCGAGCATAATGTATGTAACGTAACACGAGGCCGAAGAAAACTGTAAAAATAAAATTGCAGTTAATGTTTTGCTCAAACAGTTCAGCTCGTTCAGAACGGATGTTACATAATCCGCTCGGAGAGAGACGAAAATGTCGGCAGTATGTGCCTTCGCGATAAAAATGTGGGTTGTATAGCGCTTAATAGCAACATAAACGGTTCCTGAATCGATCTCTCAAGACACGAAACGCATGCTCCCTGTTAAACGCCATTACCCCCCTCCTTTATTTTGTCTATCGTTAAATGTCACGGTTGAATTCAAGCAAGATGCGGTATGTGAATAAAAAAAAAAATACATGTTACTTTTATTACATATATATACAGGGTGTCCCAGAATTGGTTTAACATCGCTCGTACACAGGTAGAAGGAATAAAACTAAGGTGAAAAGTCCTATACCATTTTGCTAGATTCGCAATAGTTACCGAGATTTTAATTAACAAAGATCCGCGAATAAACGTGCATCGGNCCCGATGCATGCTTATTCGCGGATCTTTGTTAATTAACATCTCAGTAACTATTGCGAATCTAGCAAAATGGTATAGGACTTTTCACCTCAGTTTTATTCCTTCTATCTGCCTACGAGAGATGTTAAACCAATTCTGGGACACCCTGTATAAATCATAAAAAATATAAAATACAATTAAAAATGGTTTTTGAGAGAGAACAACGTAAAAATAAATTAGAAGAAAAATTGTCCGCTCTTACGGCCAAGTAGACAGATTAGAAAAATGAATTTTTTTTTAATCTGCAATTAAACAACTTTTTTAAATAAAAAAATTATTACCGTTATCATACATTGTTGCACAATGTACGCATATATAGTATATGTTTAGTGAATTTAACATGTTTTATGTACACGCAATACGTATTATTTCAATTTTTATATCGCGGAGAGACACGCGACGCACATAAACACACGTTGTGTAAGAATACGAGTACATTGACAGCTCGGAAGTTACAACTCGACGTTAATTTCTCGGTAATATCACTTCAGACCAGTAACAGTGGTTTATCTTAATTTACACGGCCGTGATTCACACCGTTGCGGGTTTGTGACAACCGCGAAATGATGGAACGTTCGGTCAAATACAAATTTTTATTTGAGCGCAATAGGGTACGAACTTAAAAAGCTATTTTGTCCGGATGTTAAATTGCTTCGGTGTCCTGCAACGCAATCATCATTCGTTGTTATTGCGATCTTATTGCTTCGAAGAACGAAAGGTTACGCGTTGGTCGTTGATTTCTTTCGAATAAATTGGCTATACGGAAAAACCCGTAAAGTCTTAAAAACACTTAACGCTTGAAAAAGAACAGAAGTGCCCATGAGGATAAAAACTTCCAGATAACGATAAATTTGTTTTTCGGGAGCACAGCGGTGGCGTACACGTAACGCGAGTTTAAGCAAGATGACAACGTGCAATTAGTCAGACAATTAAAATAGATATCGCCGCGATGATGACAGGCGAGAAAATCGATCGCCGAGTCGAGTGTCGTCAGATGAAATCGTAGAAGAGTAAAATTGAGATGCATCGGGAAGCAGCAAAAACTATTTTACAATCGACGAGAAGACGATTCTAATTTTGTCGTCATTCATAAGATTTCCGTTCCGATAAATGTTTTTTTTTTTTTTTTAATTCCGATTGAGGAAAATTACCACCTCGTTAACAAGTGAACGACGATATCACACAAGTAAAATTGAAATAGTAGTACACACGCACGCGCGTGTAATTCTGATCTAAATCGCGATGGAACAATTTACGCTCGAATTAATTTTGGGAAAAAAAAATTCGATTCTTAACAGAGAAAAGTTAAACAAACAGTCAAAGTGGTGCGATATGAACTTCACCGAATTACTTAAGTCATTATTATGTTTGTCTATCTATATCCCGGGACTTACTACAGTTTACCAACGATATATATACTTACTGATAAACCCGAACGATGTGTGCGTAAAGATTGCGATAAGCTTTTTTACATATCAAGAAAACACACACCTGTCAAAACGCAGACACTTCTCGCCGCGAAATTTGTATAAATTTTAATCGCAATATACACGGCTAATATTTTAACAAAATATACGTATAACACACATGATTGATCTTTCTCGCGAGATTTAAAGGGATTTAAAGTGACTTTAATTTTGTCACTGAAATCATCGTGTTGTATGTTTGTGTTGTATCACGCGTATATCAATCGTTGCTGCGTGCCAAAATTGTCGGAGCAACTCGCGCGCCTCGATATAAAACATTGTTTGCAAATAAACGTCGTTACACAACTGCAATCAGCCATTCGAGACTTTGTCAAGACAATTAAGAGAAATCTCTCAACTTCTATACTAATTTTTCATTGTTAGCGACTAATTTTGTTTGTGTTCTATTTCGATCGCACAATACGCGCGTGTGTATATATTTCACACTGCAGATTGACTCTATAAAATGCACTTCTTGGCAATCGTGCGGGCCGTTGAACCGCATTGCCTATGTCTTACGATCAAGTCGATAAACGTAACTCGAAGAACGTGACACGACGTGATACCGCGATTCGAGCCGACAATTGATCCGGAAAAATTCTTGCCGCGAAACACACCTTGCGGCTGAAAAAAAGTCACAACAATCAGCTTTATTATTATTAATTATTTTGATTTTGCTAGAAATCAATTTCTCTTCAATTTAATCAATTTTATTTTTAAAACACGACTGTAGTCGCGGCGTTGACTGAATGTTACCGGAAACAAGTATTGTATATGTTATTAAAACATATCGAGGTTATCTCCTGAAAATTACATGTTTTTAAGAATCTCTCTCTCTCTCGAATCGATCCTATAGAAACGTGGCGCGTACTGACGCGTTACGGTAATACACACGTGTACATCGTTGTCTGTAATATAAATAAACATGGAAAAACCCTGCAAAAGATAAAAGACAGCACAGCGAGTCACATACTCGTGTTATCACGATGTCGATACCGGCGGCTTGATTCGGAAACGTCAATCGTTACGAACGCGTCGACGAAAATGCTATTTTTAAAGTTTCCGTTAGCTATTCAAATATCTATATTTTTGTCGATCGAGACACAAGATGTCTCGGTTTCGCAACACGAGCAGAAACAACAATATTAATTTCACATTTTAATTTTTTTCTATTTACTAAGTTCTTTGAATTATTAATTTTTATTAATTAAACTGACTTTGTTTGGAAAAAAAAAGCCAAAAACTCCAGTTTTTGTTGACGCCAAGTTTCGAGATAACGTGCTTAAATCCACTCGCGAAAGGAATATAGGTCGGGATAATAGTCGCAGAGAGAGAGAAACATTTGCGACGTTTTGGTATCCGGCGAATTTCGCGGTTGAAATTCATCCGTGCGTCCCTGGTACGAGTGGTCGTGCGAGGAGGCGCCGGACGAACCGGATAACCTTGGAATTACTTATCACGTGTCGTTAAAAGCGGCCGACCGACCGATCAGCTCGCTATCTCGTATACGGGAACACCCTGTATATAAATGACACATGAACCACTCTCGACACATGCTACGTCGCATACTTGGTCATCAGAAGACTCACGTGTGCGGCTCGGAGCTGACCGAAATCCGGACGAGATCATGAAGACAATTCTAGAACGCGCGACGAGTGACCTGAGACAAAGAAAAAAAAACCTCGACAAAATTTCTATTAATTTGTTCGCCCAATTGTTGCGCCAGACGCGGCCGTGCAAACACGGCCGTGGAAAAATCTGACGGCCGGCCGTTTCGCAAGTAAGATTCGCGTGAATAAAAATCGAACACATCGAAAAAAAAAAAAAAGAAAAGTAAACACAACTCATTTACATGAAAATTGTTCCGCAAACTGTCACAATAGATGATTCAAATGAGAAAGACGGACTCGATATTGTGTTGAATGAATTATAAGCGGAGAAAACATAAAGAGAGAAAAAAAAAGACAAATTCAATCAGAGAGAATACGGAAGAGCACTTTTGTGAGCGAGAAATTGCGGGCGAGAAAAGACGACGATAATAAAAGAAAAAGGTTAATCAATGCGCGCGGAGTGTGTCTCGCGACAAAGCAAGAGGCGACAGACACGACGACGCCGCTACGTACGTAACTTTGCGATACGCGCGCAAAATTGCGTAACAAGAGCAGTTCGCATCGTGAATGCGAACATAACAATGCGAACGAGATGCAAGAATCACGCTCTCGCATTGATCCGATTTGCTCACGTGATTACGTGGTGTGTGAAGATACGGTATTGATCTTACACACATGGTCCGTGTTCTACTTTTATCTGTAACATGTCATCAATCATACGTCATTGAAGAGAATGTCGTAAAAGAATGTGAGGAAATTCGTCAATTCGTTGTTGCGATCAAGAAATTAATTCAAGGGTGAAAAATTCATTGTGGAACACACGGTGTAGTATAAAAGTTAGAAATTCTTTTAACACTTTTATTCGGATAATAAATTATTTTATATTACGTCCGAATGAGAAAAAACTGAATCGTCAACAATCTTCCGAGTTTTTTTTCCGAGAAAGAAACTCCGGTGAAAGAAAGTCACATTTTTTCGGGTCAGGTCAGATTCTCTAAAGAACTAAGCGTCGTATATTGATGAGGTAACCCCGGATTGGGATCGTATTGTCCTTGTGCAGGTTTTTCCCCGACGTCAACAAAGACCTGTCGGCGGCACACACGTGAATTCTTTTCTACGGTTCTCAACCAGTCGGTTCGAAAACTGATACATATGTTAACACGTGTTAATTTTTACAGTCCGAGCGTTTTTTTTTTCCTGGTGGACCTTTGACCGTTTTTGAACCTGAAGAACTTGTTTAACAACAGATTCCTTTATTTATTTCGAGACGAAAATTTTAATATATCGAACTATGTCGAGGCTACACAATTATTCTTGAAATATCAGCAGGTCTAAAGTTGGCAAATCAATTGTCTAAAAAAAAAAAAAAAAGTACACGCGCTCAGGTAACTTCAGTGACACAATGAATGCGTCCAGAGTTTTTTTTTTAATGTCGACTGATCACTTTAAATGTAATCTCGCGTATACGATAATATCGCAAGTTTTTTTTCCAACAGTTTTTTGTCGGTTGGTAATCTATTGTCCGCACAATGAAATATTTAAAGACTTCCTCGTAAATTCATGAAAAATACATTTGAGACCCTGAAATCTTCACCCAACAACGTTTGCTTAAGCGTGACATGAATAATTATAAAGTCTTCCGCGTCAAAGGACCGTGTTATTGAACATAAATTGATGCTAAAATAATACGTTTAGAGAAGAAAAAGAGTATGCGCAATATCTCTGTGGCGACCGAGAGAGACCTCGATTTAGGAAAGAAAAACAATTTTCTTTCCCCGACCGTTGTTTACCGTAAACATTTTTTCAATTAGCTCCCCGTAAAATACGTCTCGTCAAACAAACCCCGAAGCAGTCAATATATATGTATATATATCATCAAATCGAACAGGCTAACATTTATATCTGCCGAGAGATGATTTATCGAACGATTGCATGCGCTAGTCCGCAATGAGTAATGCGGTCGATAGAGCACTCGCACGTGACGAATTTTGCGTTACGTAAAGTTCGCAAGTACACGGGTAGGTAGGTATAGGTAAGTGTAGCAATTTTGTGGCGTACGCGATAAGATGCATCGTTGCAATGACGTGGGTGAACCAACTGTGTTCCAAGGTTTGCATTGGACCGCGAAAAACATACGTGTATATACACGTGACAGACTTAAACGTCCGTAATGACTTACGAAGATTTAGAAGAAAAGCTCGTAATTGGTTACACGTAATAGTTCGTATAAAAAATTCCGTAATTTGCAAGTTTTTATATTTTTTAACCGCGATAAAAACCTAGTAAATTATTTTTCTACTACAAAAAAATTCTCGCAATTATACACCGAACAAGTCTGTAATTATAGTAAATTAGATATGTGTTATTCGTAAAGCGAGAACATTTGCACAAATTGCAAACGTTTTTCGCAAACGCGCGACATTGTGTTCTCTTTTCACTTCACAAAAAAACTTGAATATTATAGAAATACATACAACTGATTATTTGTTTTACACTGCGTAGTCTTTGAACTTACGCGAGTTTCTGTTTGGAGTGAAAAAACTTTTAGACATTTGCATAAATTGGCAACGCTTGAAATCACGTCAGTCTCTCAAAGATACTGCACTTCGTAGAAGTATGAACGCACACAAAAAAACAAATTATATCTATTATTTCACGGACAAATATTACAAGAACAGTCCTACCATAAGACAAAGATCAACAAACCCGACAGTTTCCTTAATAACGGATTAAGAAAAAAAAAACATTAAATTCTATGTACCGCACGTCTATCCGTAGACGGTGGTTATGTAATTGGCCGACGACGACGGCGGCGGTTTGCGGCAAAATTCCTAGGTCGATTCGGTGTGACCGGCAATAGTGAAATCAATAACGACGCGCCGTACTACATACATCGTCGTCGAGAGTTACCTTAAAAACGCGCAAAGTCTCGAAACGTTACGTAAATTTCAGACGAAAAAAAATTCAAAAATAAAAAAAAACCTGTAAAACCGAGTGTGAGACTTTTATCGGAAAGTTCTCCGGCAAGATACATTTATCGATTGTATTCAAGATCGCTATCGCGCCATGCTATCCGAACGATCGATTTTGATAAATTGCACCGCGTGAGTGATTTGTTGGTAGCCGGACAGATTGTATGTCACAAAGAACGCAGTAAAAACGCAGTAACCGATACTTAAGTGTGCAGGTAATCGATACTTTTCTCGATCCTTGAATTGACCTATCGTAAATATACGAAACTCGATCTCTTAGAAACACCGCGAGAGAGAAAATTTGTCTCGATAATTATTCCCACACAGGAAACGACGATCTAATCACAACTCTGACTCGACGATAGTCTAGTTTATTTATCTTTGAGGAACAGATGTCTCTCTTCAGATAAGAAAGTTGTAAATAATTCAGTGATATCAGAGAAAGATTGAAGTATTGACCAAGGTTAGTGTCGACTCGTGCAATTAATTTTATCCCGAAGCGAGACAATTACATACGAAGACCACAGGGGAAGAACTTGATAAGTTCACATTTTCGTGATTTTGAAGAAGAGCGAGTTTAAGGTTCAAAATGTATATGTATTTTTGTGTTACACATTTTACAAAAGTGCTCACATCTCGGAATCTATCTAAGAATTTCCCTCTCTCGCTTTAGATAATTAAAATACTCCATTTTAACTATCAAACATGAACCGAATAACATGAACCGAAACAGAAAAAAAAGAGAACTTATCACAAGTTCTCCCCTTGTGGTCTTCACATGTAACATATGCGCGGAAGTAGTTTGTTATATACATTGTATACGTTCGTACATATATAGTTTAACGAAGTTGCGGATTGATTATTCGTAGTAGTGTGACGTACATATGTGTAGGATTGATTCGCATCATAGGTGACATCATTATATACGGCTCTCGTCTTATCAATAACTCGTCAAATATAATTCTCAGAATTAATTTCACGCTATTTAAGTAACGACGTCACTATCTCACACGTCATTGTCACGTCACAAACCAATAAAAATGTGTTTTACACGGGTTTTAAATGGGATCATTCGCAGAATTATCACAGCTCGGAAACCCATTTAAATCTCGTATCAATGTCTTACGGTTTGTTGACATCACCGTGATGCAACGATAATCGTCATGTATCGCGTGATTCAATTTCAATCGGGAAGAAGAACAATTGATATTTCTTAGTACGAAAAGGGAAGTCCACAAGGAAATATAAAGTAATACGTCACGCGCAAAATTATTTCTCCCAAGATCGTAAATATATCGTTATCAAAAAATATATCGTTTGCAAAAAAAAAAACCAATGTGGCACGTAAAAATATACCTTGTGACAAATGTATCTCGTGAGAATTAATTAATTAATTAACTGATGATACGTATTACGAAGTATCCCTCCTATTTGTTGCTTGAGATAAAGAGTCACTGATAAACCGAACCCATACTGGGAGATGCAAATTACATTAGTAAAACTCTTCGCAGAAATTAGAATAAAAATTGGAAATGAATGGATATTAGGACATATGTATATTGAAGAATATATATATATATATACAAGTTACATTTTACTTTCTTGAGAGATGCGAGAGAATCGATCGCATGTGGTTCGATCAATCGTGAGAAAAAAAACTACATGAGGCGGCTGATAAGTATTCAAAACGACGCACATAGATAGCAACAATATCATATTGTCGTCGATAGATTTTATCTTTTCAGAAGAAGAAAGGTCAAACACACTAGCTATTCTTTTAGATTACTTGTCAATCGCCCGACGTATGTGTAGAGAAAAATGATTATTTTAACTATTCTCAAATTACTCATTATCTGTAGGAAGTTCCTCGAAGTGCTTATCGCTTTAAAACAAAAGAATGACTGACGATCTCTAAGTGTAATTAACGCAACAGCATGTAATTAACATGCGCTATTTAAATTAATTTATATATCTATTTGTGTGCCTTTGAAGAAACGCATAGGAGATATAGAAGAGACATCTTAGAAAGTGAGAGAGAAAAAACGGGAGTGACTTAATCGTCATATATATATATATGTCTGAATCAGTGAAACAAAACTAGAAGCTTCAATTTTCGCACTACGTTTTCCAATTCATTAATATATTCATTAAAATTGTTCACTTTTTTATTTTTATTTGTTGTACACAAATATTATTTTTTTTAATGATTTTTTTTTTTAGCGGTAACTTTGCGCATCGGCACGATCGGTTCCAAAACATGCTCGGAGCTCACGATCGTAACGAGAACAAAAACACAAAAAAACATGTGCGTACAAATGACTCTCACCTTCATATTATTTTCCACGATATACTCAATAGAGCACATCTGATAGACAAAGTAGGCTCGCACCAGCTCCGTTGTGGTTTTGCTCTTGAAAGCGGCAACCGGGTCGTTAAACTTCAAATCAAGCGGGTCGATCTGCCGAGGCGCCGCTGATTGCTGCTGCTGCTGCTTCTTGACGTCAGTGGCGGCGGCGGTGGCGTATCCGCGCGTGTCATTACGCACCTGCGTAACCAGCCGGAACGGCGGTGTCCTCGTCGCGGCCGCTGTCGTCATCGGTGCCATCATTGACGCCGTCGTGTTCTCCAAAAGACCGACCACGGGCAACGGTAACGTGCCGCACTTGGTCAACTTCTTGCCGGCGCAACATCGCCGCGGCACGCTTCTCAAAAACGCCATCGTATCGCGAAGTGCGCGCGCGAGAGGTCGAGAGAAAGAGAGAGAAACGAAGTAGGAAACAAAAAAAAAAAAAAACTGGAAAAAGAGCGTGCGTGAATAAGGAGGAAAAAGGAAAGAGAAGCGGAATTGGGAAGCGCGAGGGAAAAACCGTTGACGGCGCGACTTTCGCAGCTGTCCGACGGGATATCGCGTCTGCGATCGCTTTCTCACCGAGGCTACCTTGGCACACCTTCAGGTTTTGGTGAACGGAGCGGAAATCGAGGAACGAGACGGAGAAGCGAGACAGAGAGAGAGAAAATAGTAAAAAAATGGGAAAAGACAGAGAGAAAAAGAGAAAGAGAGAGAGAGAGAGAGAAAGCGAAAGGGACGGACGATGATCGGACGAATAATCCGGCTTTTGCCGACGACAAGAGTGCTTCAGGAGTGAATCAAACCTACTGGCGATCGATTTCTCGGGGACCTTCAATAAGCTGACAGGAAGGTTCGCTGCTCGCTTGGCTCTTTCCTTTTGTGACACCCAAGGAACGACGTGCGCGTGTTGTTCAAGCGACGTGTATTACCTCGTACACGAGGGTCGCGACGCGGCACGACTGACGGCGAGCAGCGGGTCGCGCGTCGTCCTCGGGTCCGTCGTCGTGACGTGCCGGGGAGCGCGTTAAGCTCGACGATGGGAAACGCGCACGAGTAATGGCGTCTTCGCTTCGCTGCTCTGCTCACGGCGCGACAAAACTATTGATTTTCGTTCGCCGGGGAACGTACTACTATTCCGACAACGTATACCGTACCGTACCGGGTCCGCTAGCGGCTTAAATATAACGCGCCGCGCCGATCAGAACGACTTGCCGACTTGCCGCCGACGCGCCTCGTCCCCGCGGGTTAGCGCGCGCATCGCCACCACCATCGCGATCGTCGTCCGTTGCCGCCGTGATCCTTACACGCCGATTGGTACAACGTCGGAGGTGTGAACCCGGTGGTCGCGACTCACATTGGTCGTGAACATTAGGGCAAACGCAGACCTATGCGCGGTGCCACATGACGCACAGTAATGTCGTCACGGAATTCCGGAATTTCTCAGAACTCTTCCCCTCTTTCTCTTCTTCTCTTTTTTTACATTTCGAATATCTCTTTACTGCTAGTTTGCCTCACAACTTCATGTAAAATTTTATAATAAACGTTTGAAAAAGATGTGAAAAGTTTAAGGTCAGTATTTTTTTATTATATACGTCAGATTTAAATTCTTATCTTTAGATAAACTGTAGCCCCTTTAGATAAAACTGCTCGTACAGCATCATAGGTTTACATTAGCAATAATGTTGTTGGCTTGTAATTTGGTTACGTGAGAAAAAAGACTCCAAACCAAATGCCCAAATTGCAGCCATACTTCTGGTTGATGTCGCAATGGCTGAGAGCGAACATGTGCGAAAGTCCTGTTTACAATGTTGCAAATTGGTAGTCGCAGAACTCAAATGAAAACCTCATTGAAGAGCGACAATGCTACTAGTGATTTGTGTTTGATCCGAAAAAGCCGGAACCTTCATGACCAGATCCACTTTACCGACTTGTCTATCGATACGGACTTGGTTTATGTCCACGCTATATCTACCGCTGATAACAAGTTTAGCGCGAGACGCGCCAAAATTTTCTCGACCAAGTAGTTAACGCGCGCTTCTGTAGATGGCACGTGCTGTCTAAACCGCGCTTCGCTCCAATTACTTGTTGCTACGTGTAGCAGGGTAGCACACTTTGATTTATATTGAAAATTTGTAAACGTTTTTTTGACACATACGCGCTGTTATATACTCTCGAGACAATAACGTTTGTGATATCGATGCGGAAAGTATCGGATTGTGCATATATAAAACTGTTGCCGATCTGCCGTCACACTACCGTCACAGTTCAAACAGGTAACAGTGTTTACTGAGCCTTCTTTAAATAAAAAAGATTTGACAGGTTTTACAGGACAAGATATATATATATATATATATGTACGATTAATAACGTCAAATAATTATAATTGCGATTATGTTATAATAATTTATTTAAACATTTACGCACTTAATATATATATACATATATATAAGCATATAGAGACACATATGTATGTATATATATAACGTGTCCACAGTCTTGAAAGCAGTTGCGGATTTTTGTATATACATATAAGCTATGCATATGTAAATATACATAATTTATATATGTATACGTAGGATGTTTGGAAATAGACGAAATTTATTTGGTTAACGTGGTTTTAACATTTCTCGTCGTGTGAAACTGAAATGAATGATTTTGTTCTTAGTATATAAAAAAAATACTGAGTTACTGAATCAATCCTGTGCGGTCAAAAAAACAATTGATCAAAATATATCTTCGATAAGAAAATATAATCATTAAATTTTGATGTGATTGAGAAAACATTACAGTTTTTTTAGAAAAGAATTTTTTTCGTTGACCACACAAGAGCGTACATACACCTATATATATATATATATATATTTCCGAACATCCCGTTACAATTCTGTAAATTCATATATATTTTTTCATACAGGTGTGTTGCCCGACAATTATTATTATTATTTATTCTATACATCTACGAATCCTCTGACTAATCTAGGATCGATTTTCTAACGTAGTAAATTGCATACACATACGTATACATGTATATATGTGCACGCGTGAGTGCACCCACACGGGAAAAAAATTTACAGAAACCTCAGATACACACAGATATCGTTCATTAGATATCGCATGGAGCTGTAAACGTCTAATGAAGCTTTTGTTCTGTGTGGAAAAATTGTGTGATATTGTATATACATGTATACGTGTATATATAACATTGACAATTTCGACAGTCATAAAACTTGATTTTTTTTTTTTTTTTTTTTTTTCCGAATAAACGTTTATAATAATCACGTAAAAGAGATAAAAAGCACATTTTTCGAATCAAAGTCGACGTGATTTTATCACTCTAAAGAACACTAGTTTTTTTGACGTTCGCGCTTACTATCTTTTTCTCACATTTTTCCTCACTTTATTCGTCGTTTGTATTGTGCATCATTATACGATCTCGAACCGTTGCCGTTTCTCAGTTTTTTGAAGAAAATGAAAAGAAGATAATAGGCGTAAACGCCGAAAAGAGCCTTGAGAGGCTTTTAAACTGGCTCTGCTTTACATATATAACGCAATCCCAGTAAATTTGAACGAATTTCAACGTCCAAGTTAGCTCGAGATGAAAAAATTGATTGAGATTCCAAAATTGGTCAACTGAATCTGTAAGTAAAACCTTGCAGTGTAAGTATAGATATGTGCAGTATACAAAATGTCATTTAGAGAACGGTTAAATTATTATAAAAGAGAGCAATCGTCGGAAAAAGCGGCATATTGCTTTCGCGCGTATCAAAAGATTAAAAATGCGTTATTTAAAAAACAAAAAAAAAAAAAAAACAAAATACACCAGTCTCATAATATTAAATAAAAAAAAATTTCGACGATATATGCTTGAACATTTTATGTCATGGAGATAATTTAAAAGAAAGAATTCTCTGTCTCTCTCGAATCTCTATCACTTTTTTGACACGAGAAATATACTTCCGAAAACGGACTTTTTAGCAACACAATTTGCATATTTATATATATATATATATATATTTATATTTATAATTTTTTGTTTTGTTTGTGTGTGTGTGTGTGTGTGCGCGCGCGTGTCTATTTATAAGTTAATTTGTTAGTGTCTAGATAAAGCATTTTGAAACTTAGACATTAAAAATAATAGATCCTAATTAATAAGTTTTGTCAAATAATCTCTCTTATGGAAACGGAAGTTCCAAGAGTTTTTTTTAATTGCTTTACACCTACGCGCGTTTCACCGTGCGTGCGCGCATAGATTGTATCGTTATCGCGGAACGCGATCGCGCTAACTCTCGCAAGCAAGCGCACTCCTAATCCTCACGAGAGCACAATCACGTACTCGGGCCAGGACACTTGCTCTTTCACGAGAGGATTTATTTTATTACAACAATCGCGCACGATTCTTATAATCGCGACCAATTCTTAATCTGATTTTAACTACCGCAATAATTCGCAGATTTCTTTGCGCGATATACACATATATATGTATATATATATATATATATATGTATAACTCTCCGAGTATATAATAGGCGACTATTATATTGGGAATGAAAACATATAGTATATAGATCAGAGCCGGAGCGCGATTTTGCATTCTTTAAAACACTTGACTTACGTCAGTCAACACCTGCCACTTTCCTCACTTATTCTCGTTTTTTCCCCCTGTTCATTACGATCTCACGAGCTAATACCGTCCCTGAGTTCGAGTGTCACGTGCTTAAACAAAAAATTAAACAAGAAAACGCGAGAGAAAATCAAAGAAAAATACTTGTGGAGGTGTAAACGCCAAAGTCGGTGCCGCAAAGAATGCGAAATATCGCGCGCTTGACTCTGGCATAGATAACGGAGTTTTGAAATTTAAAGTTGAGATTTGAATATAATTGTAGTGTGATTACTACGCTACACACGTACGCCGACCAATATCTTTGTCTCGTTTTTGTCGACTATCTTGACAGCGCAGTTTTTTTTTAGCACATTGCTATTTTGTTCCGCTTTTATTTATTTTTATCTTCCGGCAATATATGTGTATATATACATATATTGTAGAGTGCTCCCTAATTTCTGAATTTTCACTCCCAACACAGATCTAGATTTATATTATATATAGATTTTTGTTTTTTTGTTTTTTTTTGTTTTTTTTTTGACTAAAACAATCGCCTGATCGTGCACACTTAAATAGAGCACACAAAGAATGTTGTCCGTAAAACTACGAAAAATAAATTAAGTACAAATATTACACGAATACTACTGACGCTAAGACGAAAGCAAAAGTTGGACGATCGATGATATTGAAGTTTCAGACAAAAGATCGAATATGTGAAACGCATATCAATACGCTCGCACATACACGTGTGTTAATTAAACTTTTCAATACGTTATCGCATCTGTGATATCATCATTTGACATTAGTTTTTTGTATGTTTCTAATATCAAAGATATATCAAAAGTATTTCAACAGACAGAGCAATACACGTTGTGTAATACAATATAATAATAATAATAAATATTATCCTCGATCGTCCATTCGTGTCAACGACCTTTTGCCGCGTAAACTCGATTAATAAATAATGACTTACATCAAATTACTCGTCTATCTAATGCACTATTTTTGAGTGACATCGCCGCGCAATGCGACAATCTTATTGTGAATTTTTTTTACACATTTTTTTCCATTTACAATTCCATTACACGGATACCAATTTCCATGCCAGCCGCAGAGGCGGCTCTATCGCTCTTCTCGAGATCGCAAAGGTTTTGATCAATCAGATCTCATGATGAACATTTATAATAAGTGTGTGTGCGTTTCTTTTTCTCTTAGAACAGAACTTCATTGTTGCGATCGCTTCAACTCAGTTGGAGAAGTAAATTACGTAATACAAAGTTATACAAAGTTGGAAATATGCCGTGTGGAAAATCGACGTCGTTGTTCGATTCGCATCGATCGTAATAATATACAAAATCGCGTTAAATTATATTTCGTACGAGTTTCGAATAAATTTTGATTGTTGCAAACATTGTCAGTCTCGTTACGTTAATTTACGACTGCGTGTAATACAACGGTAAGAAGCTGTAATTGCAATAATTGATGGAAAAACATTGCTGCACGACTGATTGTTTCGTATTTCTCACATGTAAAACAAGTGATATGAGATCTTTCCAAGTTCTTTCTTCGCTCGTACATGTAATCTTCTCGAAAGATCGTGTGTGACAGATAACGATCACAAAATTACACGCTCCTCCGAATATATTATATTATTGTATTGTATCTCATTAAAGTATCTATTAATGGCAGATACAGGATATGTAATTTTGTGTATATTTGTTTACATACGCGTGAATATACAATATAAGTTATGAACTTTGTGTGTGTGCGTGTGCGTGTTTATCGCTAGTTAATTTTTTTTCATTCACGAAACAAATTTGATTAACATTACGTACTTTTTTTTCAATGTGTCAATTTAATTGTTAACACGATCGGAGACGCAGCCGCACGAAAAAAAAGCAGCGGCATGAGAGAGAACACGTTAAAAATATATCTTGATAAACAAAACTCGACGTGATAAGACATGTGGTACGGAGGAATCATAATGATATAATGATTGCAAATGCAACTGATAAAAAGCGTACTTAAATGTGTTTTGTCGAGGAACACTCAATTTCCCAAATCGTCGGCAAATACGTCTTTTACTGATTTGAACATTTTATTTCTTCTACACTCGATATGTGTGAAATACGTGTGAAAAGCTTGATAAAAATTTTATTCCACAGCGGGACACATGGAAAGGTGCATGTGTCTGGAAAAAAAAGCGGACGTCTTAGGATTATTATATTATCACACACGCTTTGTCTACAGTCGTTCGTATTGTATTTTTCATCCTATGAAATTTTTCTACGTTATGAAACTAAGATATATATTTATATATATATATATGTATATATATATATATAATATATATAGATTAAAGACATATGTTCATATTAATTTCAAGAGAATCGAAACTGTTAATCACAACGGAAGACATCAGCAGTAATCTTCGTTTGATCGTCGTGTGATCGATAATTACATGTGTGCGAAAGCGGATCGTACGGGTAATTCGTGCGGTGTCACACGAGATCTTTGTGCGTCGAGAAATCAATAAATGCATCAGGTGGTAGAGAAGTTGAAAAGACGAAATGAATATATATATATATAGCTTTTCTTCACGTAAATCGATTTCTTAATGCTTCTGTGCATTCAAGAACGAGATATGTGTTTTTAAAATGTACTTTTTTTTTATACGATCTTGGTTTTTCGTTTTGCTTTTTGTTTTTTGTTTTTTTTTTTGTTTTTTGTTTTTTTCTTATACCGCAACGCGACACCTCTAATCGTCCGGTCAAGAAACCGAATAACAACGGATGCATCGCGCATCGATGTCGATCTTCGTGGGATGTGAGCACTCGTTTAGATTACTAGACTGTGTAAAGAGTCGTCGTCTACTAACATCTATCGCTAATATGAACATCATTTTTCGCAGTACAATACAAAAGCGCTAAAGCTATGACAACGCTAAAGAGTGGAGGCCGTAAGACGATTTGACGTGATCGCCACCCGCTTTTGTATCTTCATCTGCCAGATCCACCCCGTAGTTGCTCGAGGTGTTGTCCTCTTCTGCAACGAATATGTAAAAACAATTTTTGGCGAATTATAAATTTTGGCTACTTAAATTCTGTGTGAGAGTAACTTTGAAAATCAACGTCACTTTCCTGCAAACAGATTGACAAACGGAGAAAAGTTGCAATTTATTACAGAATAATATTAAAAGAATAATTTATTAAGAGATAATATATGAATAATTTAAATTAAGACATTTTTTATAACAACAAATAATTACTTAATAATTACGTCTGTTATTAGTACGTGATTATACGCGGCGCGCGATTTATATTGTTATTGTTAAAAACGTTGTAACAATAATGAAATAACACACATACGTGTGCGCGTAATCTTTCTCCCGTGAAGCAAATCGTCAAAAAATATTTTCAAGCAAATTTATTCGCGTAAATCGCACGTATAAAAGCGCGTTACGCCAATAGAGAAACAGAAACTAGCTCCCTACACCTCTCTTTCACGTGTAACGTGCAACAGGTTTCTGCGCGTGTACGCAATCCAACAAACACCACGGGGGGGAAAAAGACGGAAACGCTTCTAATATTGTCGTCTGTACGAATAATGACGTTAAGGGTCGCGAAGTTTGCGCTTTATTAATTTCATCATTGTCTCAATTGCCGATAAAGGAGCTTCTCGACGAAAAAGAAATTTAATGAACGTTGAAAAACTTTTGTCCCGAGATAACTTGTTTATTTTCAAAAGGGATTGGATTGATGTTCGAAAATTTGTTAAATTAACATCTCAGCCCCCGCGCGCTGAGTATATATACGGTGTTCGAAAATTTATCACGTTTTCAACAACTACACGTTGCGCGAGTTAACGCGCACGTATAGTTTTACAATCAAGACCTCCAACGGCATCGAACTAAAATTCCCAATTTGTTTGTGTCTTTCATCACTGTGTCGTCATCGTTCTCTGCCAACTAACTGTCGAAACATCGAGATCAAATTGCTGGCAGCGCTCCACATCCCCTTTGATTGTTTACAAGAGATCCATTTGCAATTCTTCCCGGCGATTTGCCAATTCGAATTTCAATCGCGCTTTTATTTATAGATAATATTGCTTTCGTTTCGTTAATAATCGTTAACTTACCGATATAAAGAGGGGCCGGGTCGTAAGCGTTACACGGGCCCGCGTGCCGCGTCTCAAGAACGAAGCCGGTAACGCAGGCATCCTTGATGATGTGACACCAGCTTGGATAGGTAATGTTGTTCGTCGCGCATAACATGGTCGTCGATGGATCCCGATCGCGATCTCTGTCGCGATGAGCCCGATTACGGACGCGCTCCCGCTTCCGGGGACAACGATAGGTGCAGGTCACGCAACGCGGTCGCCCGGACTTCATCTCGGACAAACAAGTTTGGCCTTCCCGACAGCGTATCTTGGTACAGTCCGCGCTTTCTGTCAACATCAAACAGCACAAAAGCGACTTTGAAATCATCATATTTCTTCAAACCAGTAAAAAATAAACACAAGAAGAAGAAGACAAATATATATTGTGTCAAATCTTTTTGGTCCTTTGGAAACCAAGCGCGAGAGTTGTGAAAACGTTTGAAATTATATTGTTCGGTATTTTATCAACAAGAAAAACTATTTTATATTAATTTATAATTTTTGAATATCTCGCGCTAAACTCTTCCGATACTTTTTATTTTGCGTATCGTTTGCGCATAAAAAAAACGCGTTTTACGCGTATCGAAAACTCTTAACCCGTCAACGCAAAAAATGATGAACGATTGAAATTTCGATACTCTCTTAATTGCTTTCGCAACTCGACTCGTGTACGAGAAAATTGATGATACTTTGATTTATTGTAAACGCTCAACACAATATAAAAAGAGAAGGGAAGCAACGCAACGGTTACGCAATGTCGTATGTGCGCGTGTACGAGAAAGGGTCCTTGGTCATTCAACCTAACGTGGCATTGACATAACATCGTCGTCAGCGCTTATTGAACCACGACCAATTTAAATGATCCGTCATTAGATTACCGCATGACGCGGTTATACGGAGCGGTAACGTTACTTTGAGAATTCGTGTGTGCGCGTGACCCTCTTTCCCACTTTCAAACTGACATTAAAAATGTTTACGTGTGACAGAGATATATATATATATATATATATATATAAATATGTACGTATATGCGAGCGCGCAATAAAGTGCGTTATGCAATTCGTTATAAAAAAAAAAAAAAAATACGCATATGACAAGGAGACGCGAATATATCTCTTGCAAATGGTGAAGCCGCGCCGCGCGTGAGGTTTAGCGCGACGCGCGATATTACGGATAACGGGAGTATCACGACCGATATTTATCCTTCCCGTACAAAAATCTTGTCCTTCTATGCCATTATCCACTTCCGTCTTGGTCCGGCAGGCATAATTTGCCATGCGACAACCAGATAATTCTCATCGCGCCGCATCATCTGCAGTTAGCGCGGCGCGTAAAAACCGCGCGCGTCGAGTATTGACGGATGAGAAACAGTGTCAATATAACACGCACGTATATACGTGCGCGATCGTATATGTGCGCGCGCGTGTGTGTGTGTGTGTGCACGTGCACGCATGCGAGAGCCATCGGCGAGGTGAAAAAATAAGCAAATTACTTAACGCCTTTGATGGCAAGAATAAACGGGCGTGGAGCATCGGGTCTTGGAGAGAGTATATAAGATATCCCCGGACTGACTGGTCTCTCTCTCTCTCTCTCTCTTTCTTTCTCGACAAAAAGAATGGAAAGAAAGAAAGAAAGATGTGAGAGGGGGTGGCGAGAGAAGACGACGACGAGAGAAGAACCGAGAAAAGCTCGGCACACGTTCCGCGCGCACATACTTGCGGTGTGCATATTTGCAGACGCGTGTACTTTCGCGCCTCGGATCCTCGAATTGGAGAAAGACGATTATTTGCATCGCGACACCTCGTCGCTAAACCGGCTGGTTTATTTACTTATTTACTTCTCCGTCACGCGCTTGTGCATATGCCCCGTGACTTGAGCGCGGCATCTCCTCACCCCGCGCGCGATATTTCTTTCGGCTTTTCTTTCTTTTACGTTTTCTTCGTCACGCGAAGAGAACGTTCTCGCGCGCGAGCGTTAAGAGAAATTGCCAATAAGGAGGAGATTTAGTAGATCTCAAGTGCGATCGATAGTGAAAACTATGATTGGAAATATATATAAATATAAATATCTATATATATATACAGCAACAATGGCGCGACTACATATACAGAAGTTTCCTTTCGTTGGGAGTTTACAATTATTTACTCTCAATCGCGCACTTCTCAGAAGTGCGCGCGGTATAAGAAAACGTAATGACTCTGCTGCACCGCGCGAAGACAGGTATCGCCGTTTTTCCCGTCTTCATCTTCTATTACACGTCAAAGCGAGACGTGCAACACGGAAGAAAGTAATTACAAGTAAATTTTCGCTGATTGATACGGCTGATGATATTTATCGAGTCGTCTAACGATCACGTGTGTGTGTGTGTGTGTGTGTGTGTGTATGTGTGCGTGTATAAGACTAGTGTACGAAGCGACGACTATATTATTAGCCGAGAGAGAGCAAGAAACTGGTGCTATAAGTAGATAATGCGCGTGGAGCGCTGATGCACATTGAACCAATATTTTTATATATCTTTGATATTACACGCGGTAATAATTAACATGCAAACCATCGTCTAATTTCACTATTTTTTTCATTATTTTTTGTAGATTGTTTTTTTTTTTTTGTTAAGTTTGTGACGTGCAACAACACGTCGTTTATCACATGTGGCAAGAAGATTTTTGACACACCGTTGTTTACAAATGTTTTGTCAACGTTTCCCTAATAATCATCTCTTCCCCGATCATCCTTGATTTGCAGCAAAAAATTATGCAAACACGCGTAATTCGATCGTGCGTTCTGTATGAAACTTTTATTGGGACACGCGCGAATATATATATATATATATATATATATATGCGTACATGTCCGACACTTTGGGAAATGTGGCGATGTTAACGGTTTGATCGTCGCGCGCGCGCGAGCGAGCGAGCGAGCGAGCGAAATCGTTTTATTGCCGCGACGATATGTAAAGTGCAGTCACGAAGCGGCATGCATACGGGTTTGCATACGGGCAAAGGTTTCTTCCGCGGACTGTTTACAGTATCGAGCATCGCGACTACGAACGAGAACGGGGGGATAGATATAGTCAAGTGGCGCGCGATGCGAAGAAGGTATAACGACGACGAGCGAGAACGGGATGCGCAAGGAAGAGGGCGAGGGATGGGTGTCCTGGTGGGGTGCCGCCGCAGTTGCCGCCGCCGCCGTTGGTACCGGACGGACGAAAGGATCGGGTCTGAGGAGGAGGTATTCAACCGGAGGCGTGCAGCGCTGAATGTCGATGTCGAGACATTCGCGAACATTGCGGGATGCGGTGATGTGAGGAAAGAGAAGAGCAGAAAACTAAAAAGATCCATAGGCGGATGTAAAAGAGAGAAAGAAATGGAAACGGTAGGATCCACATGGGTTGGAGACCAATAAAAATGGGAACAAGCTGCGAACTTTACGTCGTCCCGTTTCGGGGACTGCGTCGTGGCCATGTCATGTCGGTGGTTCAGACACTGTGAACTACGTCGACGCCTGCTGTGTTTTTAGTGTTACTAAATATTGTTCCTAGAGTTCGTATTTTCGAGCTTGAGAGAAGGGCTGTTGCCAAAGTATCATCTTGCGTGCTAGCTCTAGAAACCGTCTTTTCGCTTCATTTCGCTCTTCTCTCTCTCTCTTTCTCTCTCTCTCTGTCTGATTTTCTCGATAGTTTTCTGTTTCTCTTTCTCCTTCTCGTTTCTACCTTGGCTTCTTCTTCTTTCTCCTGCCTCTCTTCAATTCGTGTTTACCGCTTCTTGTCTTCGTTTCTTCTTCGTCGTTCGAGCAGCGTATGCACGATTCCCTTCTGGTTCTTCGGTCGTCGACGTTCTCCCTTTCTCTCTTTCTTTCTCGCTTTCTCTCTCTCTCTCTCTCTCTCTCTCTCTCTCTCTCTTTCTCTCTTATTCTCAGGCTGCGGAAAGACGATACATACTTTGCAGACATACTTCATGTAGTCGTGCCGCGAGACCTTCTCGTATAAGATGCTCAACCTTGTTTGCATCCAACTTCCCTTTGCCCCGTTCTCAAACCGATAAACGCGGTTGACCTTAGTGACCTTAGCGTCGCGCGACCCACCTGTTCCCCTCCGACTAGAGGTGAATTTTGTTAAAGCAAGAAGGGAGAGACAGCGAGAGAGAGAGAGAGAAAGAGAGAGAGAGAACGAGATTACGGAACAATTTTGCCGCGAGGAATTTTCAAGTGAGACACTCAACCGTGTGTTCCCGTTATAGACTCGTCTCTCTTTCGACAACATCCGAATCACGGAAGTGATCTCGCAAGAAATCGATTAGCGGGAAGTCGAAACGAAGTGCATTATTTCGAATCCGAAAACAAAAATCCGTAGAGGTTTAAAGAGAAACATTCTGTTTATGTGTACCGACGAAAAAATTCATGTCAAATGCATGTGTTAAATTTACGAGGGAAAAAGAAGGAATCTGTTTAATATTATTATTGCATATATATATATATATTGCGTACATAAAGTAATATTTATAGCATTTTATCTTCATTGCCAAATCTTCTTCTTTTGTAGTTTTGCGCGGCATCAAACCGGTCTGTCTGTGTGTTATTTCACCATCGTGCTCGTTAATCCGCGCTCGTGATCGACTCGATTGAACTTTCGTTCTCCGACACGGACGCTTGATCGATGTACATCGAATTCTTTTGGCGCTGCGAGTTTATTTTTGCTCCAATCGGGGACAAAGCGGGGAGAGAAAGGGGAAGGGGGAGAGAGCCACACAGAGAATCGTAAATGTCGTAAATGTTAAAGAACCTCGTGGCTCCGGGTTCCACAAGCACGCGAATCGCGTGGGTGTAAGTATGTTAGATGCGTTAAACGCACGTGTGTAAGCGCACGTCTCTGTATCAGTGAGAACGTGCGTGCGTGCGTGCGTGCGTACGTGCGTGCACGCGTGCATACGTACGCATATACGGTGTGAATGACCAGAAGGCAAGGACGCCACAAGGACACATTCTTACATATGTCCACAAGCACATCAATGTGCTCAAGTTACATCTGCGGGTTACACTTTATGTATGACGATACTATTCTTTTCCGTGCTTGACCTATAACACACGCTTGACCCACATTACCTATTGTTTTGTATCCGTCCCCGTGTGAGTGATGATGGCGAACCCATCTCGTTTTTTTTTTTTTTTGTTTTTTTTTTTTCGACGACGAAAGAAGCGATGCGAGAAATACGTGGAGTGGAAATACTTTTCTCGAAAAGAAATATTTTTTTTACTCCCTTTATATCTCCGCGAAGAGACAGCGCGAGTGCTGGTGTAAAATAACTATTCGGAAGAAAAAAACCACTTTTTTTTTCTGAAGAGAATATTCCGAAGCGACAATCGAAACGTTAAAATTATATTGTTTAGTCTTTTATTGATGGATTATATTACACGTGAATATTTCGCGTTAGATTGTTTAGGATCAGCATAATTTTGCATCTTTATCTCAGTTTGTTATATACTCAGAGAGAGAGCTTCTTTATACGCAATATTATTTTTTTTTTTTAATATATCCCGACGCATATTTAGTTGTAGCGTGTTTCTCGAGAACTACATTCTGAGATACGTATAAAAATACAAGCCGATCTCAATAAACGTAACGGCAGATCGTTTTGTGTTCCGCGCATATATACACATGCGGATCCCGTCGTCGACATTCGCCCGAGTCTGGTCCAAGTGCAACCACCTCGCAAAATACGTATGGTCGCATTGCTTAAAATAACTCACGCATACGCGCAAAACTTGCTCACCTACCGAAAGAACGACTGGTCTCTGGCTGCGTCGAGTGGACAGGTTAAGAACTGCCTCCTGCAGTTTCGCCATTTAAATACAATGACGACGACCCCAAAGCGTAACGCGCCCACGCCCTCGGTGCGAGCTGTACCTATACACGAGGACGACTTACGCGTTGCGAACGAAAAAGAAGAAGCGCACACACGATCAAAACTCGTGCGCGTATACGTTACAGGCATTGCACCGAGAGATTATCAATGAAATTCGGATTCTATTGTTTCCTGTTAATTTTTGTGATACATCGTTTAATATAAATGTGATTTTGTATTAAATCTTGATACGCGTATAATAATTGTCAGACATTCGCAATCGCAAACTTGAAAAGAAATAGTATCTCTCGTACGTATAATCGTTTTTTTTTTTTTATTTGCTTGTATTTGCTGATTGTTTTCTTTATTACATTGGCGTATACACGCAGCTTCCTGTCTACAGCTTCCTGTATATTGATGTATACAGAAACGCGGTAAACAAGGTAATTTTATAGAGGAAATTGAAGTTTCCTCAAGTTTTACAAACTGTCCGAAATAATCAAGATGCCAGGTGGCTGTAAAGATCGCGTGATTCTTCACGAAGAATTTTTGATGGGTTCTTTGGGGAAAAAAAAAAAAAATCTGTCAATCTTTGACTGGTAATCGCGGCGATCGTGTCGTGTTCAAAGTTGAGGGTTTATGGCAGCTTCTCGAGAGGAATGAACAGAAAACGATGCTCCTCTTTGTCTCTCGCTCTATCTTTTTACCTTCTTTCTCTTTTTTTTTTTTTTTTTTTTTTTTTATAATTTTTTGTTCTTTTTCGCAACCCAGCAGATCACGTCTCGGTCGATGAACTTCCTGGAACGATCTTGCGATTGCCTTCTGATGTTTTTTACTTTTACGCCTCTTCCTTTACTCTTCTCCTTACAATGTAAGATACTCGTGAGAAGTACGAATTGTGAAGTACGACAAAATCATACTTTGTAGTTATCAGGAGTTTTACCGCAATTGCGATTTCCGGAGCAATCTCTAATTTAAAGATAAAAACAGCTCGCAGTCACGAAAGGTATCAAAATAGCAGGTTACACATAATAATACATTGTTAGCCTAATCCAAAGCAAAAAACATTTATGTTTTATGAGACAAGAATAATAAGAGAGAGAGAGAGAGAGAGAGAGAGAGAAGAAGAAGAAGAAGAAGAAGAAGAAATGTAATATTTTTAAATTCCAGTTGAAAGAGATAACAAATAATTTAACTTTAAAAATATTGAAATAAAAAATATGCATGTTGTCTGTGTGTGTCTTTAATGAAATAATTATACAAAATTATTATGTTAAACGTCACACTCCATTTTATTCATTTCGGTTACTCACAAAGTGCAAAAGAAACTATTTGCGAGTGTAGAAAATAGATAGAGTCATTAGATTCTATTGCACATATGCATGTGTATGTGTGTATCGTTGGTCTCATCCAACTTAGATAATCACTTCCTTCTCGTGTTTCTCGGGATTGCTATTATTTTTAGTACCTTTTCATTGTGCTATCCGTTCACGTCTGTTTACACGTTCGTGCCGTGGCCAAAAGCTGCGCAGGAGAAAAAGACGAGCTACTTTTATATATCCTTTTTTTTTTTTTTTTTTTAGAATAACACACCCTTTTTCTTTTTAGAACGCAAATATTATACAATTATGTACTACAAAATTTCGATTTCTTCTTTACTCTCTTCTTACGAAAGAAAGATAGAAAGTGTTGATATCGAGCGAAGAAAAATTTATAAGAGACGGAATAAGAGAGGCAAAATAAAAACAACTGTAAATTTTATTATTTCTTATTTCATGGACAATTTTCTCTCTAAGGACACCCATGTCTCGGACATATTTTATGATATTTGTCGCGAGGTTTCTCGACCGTAACACACAGAAAACAATAAGACCTATTTCGATGCAAAACACATACAGACACGGTCGGTGTATTTCAAACAAAACATATGTGTGTGTACATACATGTAATATTTTTGTAAAGAATTTTAGTAAAAAAGTTGAGGAAAGAACACAGCAACACAGAAAAAGAGAGAGATAGGAAGAGAGAGACAGAGAGAACACGACTCACGTTTGCAATGGCCCTTATAAGCGACGGGAATGGCGCGACCTGCGCGGCAGGCGGCGAGTCGCAGGTGGCAGGCACTCTTGTAGGTGTTTCCGTCGGCCCCGCAGACGGGGCGCGCGCCGCCGACCTGGTGCGGGGGCGCCTGGGGGCACCTGCGGGCGCACCTCACACAGTGCGGGCTCAGGTTCTGGTCCAGCAGACAGCTCCGACCTTGGCCACATCGGACCCGTGCGCACGAACCTGCTCGACACTTTGCACGTTATTACGCACAGTCGTAAACCGCCCCCGTAATAGACGTGCATTGCCTTTCTTTATTTTTATTCTCTCAAGTCGCCGGGGCCGTTCGGTTTTCAGCCGAACCGATCGTAATCGCGCGTGCTCCCGGTCATTTAACTTCCTCTGCAGATAGATTTAGACACGGCTCAAACGAATCTCTCGATAGTTAAAAAAATTGTAAGAGATTCAGCGTTAGATTTTGCAACACCATCGATTTGTCATTTCTGTCGCGACAATGTTTTACTCGCATTCTTTAAAAACAGATTTTAGTTTTTTTCAGACACATAGAAAATTATACAACCGAAGCATTAAAATACAAAAAATATAAATTTACGCGCGAATGCGTAATAAAAATCTTGAAATACGCGAGAAAAAAAAATGGGTTTGAGTCATAAACATCACGATTTTTGTAATTTTGTTTTACTAGTAGTAGAAGATCGCGTGTCGGTGTCGTGGGAACCAATCGTGCGTTTTCGTCACGCTTCATCGATCATTTTCGAAGTAAGTAGAATGAAAATGTTTTTCTTCACACGCGCGCAATCGAGACTCATTACGAGGTAGATCGATTACTAGACAATTACCCTATTGGGAGGCCAGTCCCACCGGATGTTTCTTTTGCGTCGTTTTATGTTGCGTTACTTTATCTGATCGTGTGTGTCCTAGTTAGCTTAATCGCGCGTATCTTTTGTCCTTCGAATGAACGACAAGCATAAATTGTCGATGTGAATGAAGATAGCGAGGATTAAAGTTAACAAAAAAAGAAAGAGAGAGAAAGAGAAAGAGAGAGCGACTTTTCACGGCGATGTATATATATGTACATGTACAAAGATTCAACTTGTATTCATACATACTCACTTTGGCAGTGGCCATTGTAAGCAACCGCGAGTTCATGGCTGCCCTTCTTGCAAGCTCGCTTTTTGAGTCTGCACAGGCTCTTGTAACTCTTGCCGTCCGTCCCGCAGACCGGTCCACCACCTCGCGGTGCTTTGCACTCCGGGCTACACACGCACCTCGGTCTTCCTCTACGCACCACGCACTTCTTCCCCTCTTCACATCTCACTTCCGCGCAGCTCTCTGTTGAATAGAAAAAAAACGATTCGTTACCACACATTCGCCCGAATATTAGAAATCAATCTTGCGCTTTTTCAGTTCTATCTTCTTTTATTGATCAACAGTGTAAATTAATACAAAATATGTAAAATAGCAATAATGTCATACTGTGTTTTTCCTGTTTTTTTTTTTTTTTTTTTTTCCACTGTATTTGACAGAGATACGATAAGCGTACAAAAACAAAACGTATTGTGATTAATGTTTTATTGTCAGTGGCAGCGAGCAGTGTGATCTGTTGTGTATACCTCGACAAGGACGACACTGCACACCACCTCCAAGAACCCTCCAGAAGAAAAGACTTCCGCTATCCAAATCCTCCTCGGAATAGGCGGTCGCCGCTGCCGCGTTGGACGCGCAACAATCTTCTCTCGTAACACCTTGCGACAGAAGTTCCTTGCAGCGGCCGTTACTAATTGATGACCAGCATATACCGCCTAATACAGATGTGAACAAGGTACGTTTAGAAAATCTTTAAAAAAAATTCTTTTCGAATACTTGAAAATAATAACAACACCTTCTTATAAATAGATACATGTAATCTACTTATAAAAGAAGAAATTTATTTAGATAACATATATAGATTATTAATAATTATTTTTCATAATATTAGATACATTAGAGTGTGTCGAAATTCTCAAAGCGCCAACTCTTTTAGCCTTGTTTTTTAATTAAAAATGTTGTCGTTTCACTTTTAAAAGAAAATATTATTTATTAATTAAAAGTTTTGAAAATTTATTTTTACACAAATATGCGAGACAATAATTGACCCCATTTCTCTGGCTTTGACCAAAGTATCGTGATAAATTGTTGTCTGAGCCATGTGGTGCGTGCGTGTGGTTACCGTCTCGGAATAAATGAGCGAATTGTTGACGTTGCTGTGTGTCTCTAATGCCGGCTAGCTACGTTAATGGGGCACGGAGGCAAAAAAGAAACGCCTTGTAGGGCTGTCTAATTAACGTTACGTATGAAAAAGCAAACATCGGACACGTGATTAGCGCTACGAAAAAGTGGAACAAGGTCCTTTGCCATGTGAAATCGCTACATATACGGTGTTAAGTAACAATTTTGTATAAAGCGTTCTTTCTTCCGTAAAAAAAAAAAAAAAAAAATCATGTAGCTTTTACACGCAACATGAGTGCGTGTATATTATTTGTTTCACTTGCTACACTTAAGTACGTAGTTAAGTGTGTCTCTTTTTACACGTCTCGTCTGCGATTCAAAGCACGAACGGGAAAAACTATCCCTGGATAGTTTTCCGTTTTTTTTTTTTATGCTAAAAGAGAGCGAAAAAGCAACGATTTTGTTTGCGACATTTGTTACAAAAATCATTCGTTAATTTACACGAGCGAACACTCATCGAGTTTTTTTTTCTTTTTTTTTTTGTTTAAAACATTCATTACCCGTTTCCACAGGTTTCTACTTTTGCACTCGATTCGCCGTCGTGTGCGACGGTACGTTCGCTATTTTAAAACTAGCAGCACAAACTACACGGCTACGTGTTTTCCGTTCCTAAGCGTTTCCCGCGAACTTAGTACGAAAAGTACTTTACGATGTATGATTAGCACACACGGGGCTTCATACGATTCCGGATTACAAGTCCGGAATAGTCGGCACTGTTTACTAAACCATCCAGGGTGCATTAGCGATGAACAGAAATTCCTCGGAGATTAGCTCGTAGCTCGTGGTTATAGTAGCGAACTCGATGACAGATTTTAATTTTGCGCGCCGCATATACATCTCTCCTTTCTTTTGTTAATATTGTTATTTCTATTTTATTTTACTTATCTATTTTTTTTATAATTTTTTCCGAAGAAAAACCCACAAAACGAGGGTCAAAACTTTAAATATTAAACGTTTAATGTTTCTTTTCTTAAAAAATACAATATTACGTATGAATGTCTTGTGTGAGTCTCCTTAAGACTGGTTATCTTTTAATTTGCAGAGTCTTTTTATTTTTAGTTTTATTTATTTCATCTTTTCCGTCTGTTCTTCGCTTTTCATTATCAAGTGTTCGGTTAGAAGCTGTTGGTTCTCCGCTCGAAGAAGTTGATTAAGAAACATCCCCTTTCATGATGTATTAATAACTCTCTCACGACAAATAATCTCTCGCGTCTCATCGTTTGTTTATGTCCTAGTTCTTGAGAAATTCAAGTTTAGGTAAATCACACGTCATCATCTGTAACGAAAGGAATGTAAGCAGAACGCGGTATATGATGCTAGCGCGGACGTTCGCAAAAATAGCCGCGAAACCCTTCCAACGTTTTCCTCGGAATCTCTCGTTACGCACGGAAGTAAAAATAGGTTCGCTATCGGTTAATATTAACAGCTTGTGCTCTCTCTCGCTCTTTCCCTTGGGAGAGATGAAGATATTCAAAAGCTATTTTTGTATAAAGGAGAAGCAGATCGACTTCACACGAAGACAAAGCGTTCCTTGCAATACTGTAAACACTTAATCATAATATCTTACGTTAGTTATGTAAGAGACCACCTGACGTACAAGTGTCACATATGTTTCATTCAAAAGTTTCGATTCAACATTGGAGTTACGTTCATGACTTTCTTGACAGCGAGAACACCTAGTTGTATCTATTTGTCTCTACGTACACGGTGGTAGCCACGTTTACTGCATCTCATAAAAAGTCTTGTTTTTTTTCTTCTATCTCTGTCTCTCTCTCTCTCTCTCTCTCCCTCTCTCTCTCTCTATGATTACCGTTTTGCGAAGTGTCGCTCTAAAAATTCATCGATCCAGAATCGCCCTACTCGCAGACTCGCGACTCGCAATTATCAATTCGGTGAAGCATGTCACGCGCGTCGAAGGAGACGGCGGAACTACACCACCTTGTTACGGAGAGCGAAAAGGAAAGTTTTCTGAGCAAACCTCGGAGCATTAATTCCCAGTCCACGGCGCGGCGAGGCAAGGCGAAATGAGGCGAGGCAAGGCGCGGCGAAGCTGGACGAGAGACGAAGAGACGAGAGGAAAGGAGAGACATGGCGAGAGGCGGCGCGGAGCGGCAACGGCTCGGCGTGTCTAGACCGCGACGTAGCCACCGTTTGGCCCAGTTACGCCCTTCTTCCTCTCCTCCTCTCGTTCTTCAAACCCCACTACACCTTCCATCCGTGAGGTATATATCTCTCTCTCTCTCTCTTTCTCTCTCTCTTCTTCTTATACTACTACCATCGTTGTTGCTCTTCTCTCGTAGTTTACAGAAAGCCACAAGTCGCGATGTGCTCTCCGTCGGCTGTATTCTCGCGTCTAGAGTTTTGTTATTTACGAGAGAAGCGGGTCCGTGCGGATCTCTCAGCGAAGGTTTCAGCCCCTTCTAAGTCTTTTCCTCTCTCACCCTCCTCTTTCTTAGGTCCTACCAAGCTTATCGTCGCGCGCTCTCGTATCACAGTCAAATCTACAGATACATCTTTCCCTTACGTACAACAATTTCTTCTTTTTCTTCTTCTCTCTCTCTCTCTCTCTCTCGCGTTGTAATATTCTGTATAAACTTGCGTCTTCGGCAACTCGAAACATCAAGAAGTGGAAATTACATGTGCGGTCTCGTTTACTCTTATTTTATATAGTAGATGTGTGTTATATATATATGAAAAAAAAAAAACATTTTCTTTCAAACATTTTTATGGTATATCAAATATACATATATCTCAAATATGTGACGTTAAATGTTCCTCTCTTTTGAAACACCGAAGTTAGTAGCCGAACATTAAACTCCTAAGTGGGTGGGTGTTCGTTATTCGGTGTGTTAAAAGTATTTGGGTGGAATTATTGTCAAGGTCACGGCATTCGTTATCGTGGCTTATACCACGTATCTATCCAACCATGAAACGGTCGCTTTAGGGTCGTTTAAAGCAGATGGCATCGACCGAAAGAAGGTTCTCAGTACTTCGCTTGAAATCATACATTTGATTCGGAGTTAATAAACGTTACACAATTTTTTTATCCAATATTTATCGTGCAAAAGAAAATTAAAAAATATATATATATATACGCGGTAAAACATTGTTTCTATACGTATTGTTTTTTTGGTTTTATGCTTCAACAATGTATAACAAATCCATTTCGGGTTAACGGGGGATACGATATAATTTTTATTCAATTCTTAAAAATAGGAAAACCAATAAAAACACGTCTCGCAAGTTAGCGAAATGTATCAGCCAGGTAATAAATTACAGACGTCGTCGTTTAGTCGTAAAAATAGATACGATTGATCACTCATCTCTCGCAGCAGAGTGGTGTAGAGAGAGAGAGAAAGAGAGAGAGAGAGAAGGAGAGAGAGATCGCGATGCATTTTGCGCGCAATAGTTGCAAGATACGCACGGGGCTCTCTCGGTTCTAGGTTCTAGGCAATTATGCGTCCAGCAGCTGGGACTTCATAGGCGTGTAGGCATACGTGAGATACAAGCTGCCGATTAAAGTGCCTGCTTATTCTCGGTGTGCGCAACACACACGCGGGCTCTCACCGCGCCCCAGCTTTTTGCTCTAACGCGCGCGCATACTTACACCCTCGTAATTCGAGAAACTTGACATTTCACATACGGCTATTCGTATCGTTCAATTTTACGAGCGCGAAAGCAAAATATATTTCGGAATTTCGTTCAATCTTGGATAATAGGACACACGCGCAAGCACGCGACGAAGTTTCAGAATTCAAATAAACGACGATTTCTTCACGTGCGGTATTAAAGCGATTAGAAATAACCGCGAAAACGATTGCGATGTGTACCGTTAAATGTCTCCGAAGAGACATTGAAATCTTTTTCTCTCGGTCTTCGTCACGTGAAAACTCGAAACGCGTCTAACGAATTGTTGCGAAATGTTCCGGGACACAGACTGACGAAATAACACCGGGATATCGCGAGATCAGGCGGCAGCAGGTGGTAAAAAGATCGGTGCTTGTTGAAGCAAGCGCTGGGCAGGTATTCGCGACGTGCCGTAGGGGAGACGAGTTCTTGCCCGGACAAGACGGCCACGCGGTTAGTCATCAAGGCTCAGAAATTGTCCCCGCGCGCAGGGCGACTCCGACCGGTTGACCAAAACCACAAAAAAAGCTTCTCTCTCACTCTCTCTCTCTTTCTCTCTCTCTCTCTCCATCTCTTCCTCCCTCCCTCCCTTCTCCTTCTATCCTCTTCTCTTTCTCCTTCGTCCATCACCTTCATCCTGCGGGCACGATAATCTCGGAAAGACCATTAAAAAATGGTATCTCGAATGTCATCAATGTGTCATGTGTCGGTAATATAATCATCCGGATAATATTCGATACTCGCGATGGCTGAAGAGGATATCAATAATGAACGGAGCGATATAATTCGCCGCTGTGAACTAACTAATGTAGTTCAGCCGATGTCGTATAATCTTGTACCGCACGCGTTTATGCACATAACGCGTGCGGTGCAAAGTTCTCTCCGCGCTCGTCTTTTATCATACATTGATACCTTCCAGCCACCGCGAGATATTGAATGTTATCCGAATGATTATATTGCGTTATGCATCCTTGCGCAGGCGGAACATATGACAAAAAAAAAAAAAAAAAATAGCTGCGTAACAATTACGAAAACGTTTCGTTAATACAGTTACAGAATGTGTAAGAGATGCGACAAGAGTTGGGCATTTTTGTAGAAGTTTTTACTTGTTAGATTTTATTCGTGTTAATAAGTGTTTTCATAAAGTTACTCATATTACGCGCGAGTATAAGTGTCTCTGAGGAAATTAAAACAGATCTGAATGTCTAGACAGCTGGGAACATAGGTTTGAATAATAAACAAAATTTTAAGAAGCGTGTATTTAAACGTGAGAATAAAACTTGATTTTCAAAATAAATGTTAACGTAACGTATGTCAAACAAAAGTTACATATGTGTCTTAAAATTCGACACCAAGCGCACGCATTGGAAAATTAAATAACTTTTGACGCTCAAAACAATTAATATTTGTCAACGTTGTTTTATTACTCTCTCTTTTTTGTAAAACAAGTGTAGTTCGTTTTCGTACTATTTTTTTTTTTTTTTTTTTTTTATCGTAAAACGTCGGTGAGTTTTTCAACGATTTTTACCGACAAAAAATGTTCTCTCGTACATGTAACTGTTAAGGGGTTCGGTGTGTTGTTATCTTTTTACTCTCACGGATTTTCGAATGGGTTTCACCCATTTTTTCTCCGTTGCGCAGAATATAAGGGTAGCCCCCTCCCCCGCACACATACACAAGCGCGCGTATAACTCAAATGTTTTATCGTGAGCTCACCATCTCCCGGGACTGTATACGCCTTCGGTCATGCTCGTTGAACTGTTTTTACTATGTTACCCATGCTAAGGGATACGGAGACCCGAGGTGCTAATCTGATGCATCTACACACTCGGCTAATAGAACCAGTTTTAGCGCATATTGAAAACTGGAGTAACATTTTCGAAAAACGCTGCTTTCTCTTTTTCCCTACTCTTTCTCTCTCTCTCTCTCTCTCTCTCTCTCTCTCTCTCTCTCTCTCTCTCTCTTTCTTTCTCTCTCTCTCTCTTTGACGTTTCTTCCTTATACAATACCTGACGTCAGTTTTGTGGTTTGCGCTCGCGCTCCTTTTCTCTTACCCTACGAAGCTTAGGTTATTTTTATTTGCGCTCGTATAAACAGGCTATCTCTGAATTGAGATTGAGTAACTCGACCCCGAAATATATCGGAGTGTGTGTGCTTTTCTTTTAAGGGAGAAAGGTGTTAGCTTTTTTTCTTTTTTTTTTCAACGAAATAAGTGTAGTTGTTTTCTTTTCTTATCAGGAGTGTTTTCTGTTCATTATTTTTACTGTGAAGCTAGAGAAGGAGAGAAAAAAGAGAGAGAGAGAGAGAAGGAAGAAAAGAGAGAGAAAGAGAGAGCTGCAAGCGCTGCAAAGACCGTTCTCGATGCTGAAATTGCAGTGTTTCTTCGAACAATTCCTCTATCTATCTCCGCGGGTCCTTCCTTCCTCCTTCACGTCCTTCACGGGACCCACAGGGTCTCCCGTCCCCGTCCTTCTTTCACCCGGTGGCATCGTCCGCGCGTCTAGAGGCTCAAGCGCCTCTGCACTGATGCGGAGCACTGACCCGCAAACTGGTTCCTCCATTACACCAGGCTTTCTTCCCCCTCTCCCTTTTCTCTCGCTCCATCTTTTCTTGTTTCTCTCTGTCTCCCGCTTCCTATATGTCCTCCCCTCTGCCTCCTCCTATTTTATTTCTTCTTTCTCTTCCCCTTCGTGCGTGCATGCGTGCGTGCGTGCGTGCGTGCGTGCGTGCGTGCATGCGTGCATGCGTGCGTGCACATCTCTTCCTCTCTCTTTACATTTTCAGCGTGTCCCTTTTACTTAGCTTCTTCGCATCCATATCAGACTCGGCAATCCCCTGCAGAATAATCGGCCTCAGATTCAGCGAGAGAGCACGAAGTTCTGTATCACATATAGTGATTATATACACAGGTACATGTATTGGTGCTTATATAGATAGTTGTATTTATTTATATAAATATGCGCGTGTGTATGCGCGTGTGTGTGTATGTAATCCATTTTTCCTCAATCTATTAAACGTTATTTGTTTACCAGCGATCTTCTCGAGTAGCCTATATACGATTGCGTCATATGACAGCGTACCATTGAGTCAAAAGGAAATTAATTCACTTGATAGAAATATTGACGTCTATAAAACAATGATGAAATTTATGTTGTCTAGACTCGAACTAGACTCTTATCAATTACTTTTATGCAATTTCAGATTTGCGCCAAGAACACGACGTTTCTCTCTCATTCTTGTTCTTCTTCTTTCGCAAGTTCCGAGCGCACCGTTCATTTGTTAATGACATTTTAAAGCTCCGCTACGAAGCTCGGTATCTCGCCACTTTTGCGATAATTTGTCGCCGTGCAAGCGTTAAATTAACACTGAATTCATTTGCACTTTATCGCCCCGTTTGAACGATATTGCTCTGTGCATTTATAGTTTTTTTTTTTTTCTTCACGAGTAATAAGGAACGCCGCCTAGACTAATTTAATTGACACATCGCGAGGATAATTGACGAGTTTTGTCGAGAGATCGTCTGCTACGGCTCCGATATCGTTGCGAGCACGCAACGGAAGCCTCGTAGTGTTTTAATTCGACGTAAAAATTAATCAAACAAATGAAACAGATGCGACGCGATGCGCATAAATTTTAATTTTAATGCGCCTGTGGCTCATCACTTCAGAGAAACTCTCTAACATCGTCGCCGTGTCTCAGTCAATTATTTACGATGCCAGGAGCCATCTGAGAGAAAAACAGTTATCATATCCGAACAGTTCGCGTAAAACGGTTTTATTTTGTCCAAAATTGTTCACCGCGGCGCAAAGCGCTACATTGTAGCGAAACGCAAAGCTACATTGTAGTTAATTGTAAGACACAAGGACCGCAACAGTAAATTGCGACGTTGGAAATTATATAGCCCCGCGAAATCACATAAATCACAAATTGTACGTTAGAATAATACATGTTGCAAATTACAGGAGGCTAAAGATGACTTTCAGATCGCGAAAAAAAAGAAAGATCGTGCTCAACAACTCTGTACTTCATCTCTCTCTCTCTCTCTACGCCAGAAGGAATTTTTGTAACTCGAAGATCGTTACGAAAAAAAACGCGCCCACACATTGCACGAGTCGAGTTTGTTTTTCTTTTATTAAATTCTTTTATTAAATTTCTTTTTTATTTAAGGTTTTTTCTTTTTTACATCAAAATTTCTTTTATGAAATTATCTGGTTTTTCGATTAATGACGTAATTTCAAAACTTCAATTTTTTACGTTTATTTATCGCGTTTATTTATTATTATTTCTAAACGCAAATATAACAGAAAAATAGAGCGACTCTTCGACTGAGTAGAAACTGTTTGCTGCGTAGCGTTCGTATATCAAGTAACATCATCGTCGTATTAATCACACAAACAGCTGGTTCTCTCGTAAGATCAACGATCAAGTGTGAACGAAGTCAAGGCTTTTCTCTCATTAATCATTTGCTGTGCGAATTTGTTGGATTGAGAAAGAGGGAGATCGCGCGGAAGAAGAAAACGACGAAAAACACTTACCAGTGGTCGAGTGGATTTGGAGCAGCAGTCCGATCAGCGATAGCAGGAGGAAGGTTCTATACGGGGATGCCGTGATATCCTGTCGCAAGGCCGTCATCTCAGGCGGCCCGCGCCAGGTGCTTCTCCGACGTGCCGCTATTCCTGCGGTGAATCTCACCTCGGCTTCCTTAACTTCCGCCTTCGTTCCCGCCAGATCTACGACGTGTCGTCCTCGTGCTTCACATCTCATCTGCCTGGGCCTCGATTCTTATCCCTAGAGCGAGTTTTCTTCGAGTGTGTTTCACCACGCAGCGAGATAGCCGTCGGCCGTGTTGTGCGCGTCAATATCGGGATCACTGTCTTCTTTCCTTATCGCCCGCGGGATTCGTGTCATAGATTTCCCGTTCCCGCACCCTTTTTGTCCGGAAAACGGATCTGTGTATTTATATTCGAAACGTTTGCAAATCGTTTTATTTTCGCACCAAGTTCGAGATGATTTGTGTATCTTCCGATGAGAGTTGTGCGGGGATTGCACGCGACACACGTGCTTTTGTTTGTTTATTGTACGGTGGGAAAAAATTTATTTGTCGTGTACCTCGAAAGTGTGTATATCCGTTAAAACACGGAGGGGAGGGGCACGCTTGTTCTCATAATATTTAAAATAAACCACCGTATCTGTTATCGCATCGCGGTTCATGACGAACAAAATCTCTAAATCTCATCTTTCTGTATATTTTAAAAACATGTCTTGTGCAGTTTTAAGCGCAATATTGTGCTTTTTTTTCCAATCTTTTTGATCCTGACTTGAACAAAACTTTCGATTATTGTGGATTTCTTATATCAGTTTCTACCGATTGATTGATTTTCTTAAAAAACTTTTAAACATATCGCGAAACTCTCAATGATTTCTGTTTGTCATAGGAAATATTCTCTATCGTATCACAAAAACAGAAGAAAGTCGATATTTTCTCGTGTCGATCGTGTTACAATGCGATCTCGAGATAGAGAATTGTTTCTTCGGGCAATTTAAATTCTTTTTTATCTTTTTTTCTTTTTTGCTCTCAATACGCCGCGAACCTCATCGAATGACGTGGAAAACGACGATGTTTCGCGCGGTTCTCGGATTGCAATCACTACATATCGCGCGATGATGTCCGCGAGGAGGACACGCGAAAACGGATCGATTCGAACACCTGTGGATGGTTGAAAGCTTTGCGTCTAACGGAAGAGCGATATCGTTTGTGGGTACTCTATATACGCTGCCTCGTCGTCTTCGCGAATTCTTCTTCTCTTAATCAATTTTCTCTCTTTCTCTCTCTCTCTCTTTCTCTCTCACGTTAATCAAAGCACGACACTTGATGCCACTAGCCGCGAATCATCGCGACACGTGGTGCGTACGAGCGCTTTACGAAACAAAACGCACGTTGCACACAAGTCGCGACTCAATGTTTCTTCGTGTCCCTGTGGGACAACACACGATTGTTTTTAAAAAACGACTTCTCCGCGCGTTTTCTCCGCTCTTCTGTTTGCCGACCAAAATCTTTCGCGGATCCCTTTTGAAGGATTCCACACCGATGAATCTCTCTCGCGCGCGCGATTGTTACCTCCTCGACATTCTCGAGCGCGTCAGTAAATCGCTATCTTTTTTTTTTTTTTTTTTTTTTTTTTTTTTTTTTTTCCCCTCGACTTTATCCACGATCTCTCCGACACGTAGCGCTCGATAGATTCACGACGTTTTTTGTCGATCCTCTACGAACACGCTTCGCGGCG